ACTATCGGGGTGAGGGCCACTGGCCGATAGTCATTCAGACCAGTCACTGTAGAGCTTTTTGGGACTGGGATGATGGTGGCAGTCTTCAGGCAGGTGGGAACTGTCTCCAGGGTAAGTGAGGTGTTAAAGATGTCTGCCAGCACCTCACAGAGCTGATCAGCACATTCCTTCAACACTTTTCCGGGGATGTTGTCTGGGCCAGTTGCTTTGTGCGGATTAATCCTCCTGAAGGTACTCCTTACTTCTGCTGAGGTCACGCTGAGATGCTCTTCATCCGGTGGTGAGGTGAGTCTGGTGCTGGGTGGTCTGTTCGGGTCTTCAAAGCGTGCATAGAACTTGTTGAGGGCATCAGGCAGAGATGGGTCTTTGGGGCATTGTTCACTCCTTCCTTTATAATCTGTTATGCACTTAATGCCCCTCCACATGCTCCGAGGGTCTTGTGAGATGAATTGACCCTCGATCCTCTTTGCATATGTGGCCTTGGCCCTCTTAATACCAGCAACCAGCTCTTTTCTTGTCCTACTCAGCTCCTCTGAGTTTCCAGACCTGAAGGCAGTGTTCCTGGCTTCCAGCAGGGTACGCACCTCTGCATTCAGCCAAGGTTTTCTGTTTGGGTAGCTTTTAACATTTCTGATAGTGGAGACTGTGTCAGTACATGTACTAATGTAACCCAGTACTGAGGATGTGTATTGGTCAAGATCAAGCGAACCTCCATTTTCAGCAGCTTCTCTGAAAACCTGCCAGTCTGTTCGATCAAAACAATGAAGGCGTGGAGGAGAGCTCACCTCGGCTGGGTTGACTTGGAGCACAACAAATTAAATATGTAACAGATTTCTCCCATGTATCTTTATTAAAACACAACTCAGTTTAGCAACCCTCGGTTAAAATCCTTGATTTTATCGCATTGCTTCTAAACTTTGTTAAAGAGAAAAATAACAAATATAGCAACGGATACATTTGTGGTTTGTTGTTTTGTGAGCGCCTAAAATAGGTTTTGACTGATCACCTGCTGCATGTTGTGGCTTGGCATTTAGTGACATGTGTTCCCCCTGGCAATGTCCTGGGCCCCTCCAGAATGGTGCGCCCCACAGTTTAAGAACCTATGTTTTTATACTGTGGGAGAGAACCAGATTACCCAGAGAAATCCCACACATGGACTGGGAGAACATGCAACTTGTGCACAGAAACTAGATTTTTGAACCTGCAACCTTCCTACTGGAAGACAACAGCTCTAACCTCTGTCTCACCCTCTAACCTTAAATCTGAACACACTTAAAGGGTGGTATCAAAGATGGGATAGTTCTGTGTATTTATTGCTGGGAATAGTACCACAAAACTACCGAATACACGTTTAATAACTGGGATCACATTCTCTCTCTGTTTTGGACCTTTTTTTTTTCCAGCATGTCCTCTGGTGCTGCTTATGTAGCCAGAAACAGTTGAGCTGGTGTCCGCTGTGCTTCTGTTTCAACTAGTTTCCTTTTAGAACCGAGATCATAATTAACTTGAATCACTCGTCCGTTTGTCTTTCTCTGCTTCTTAACTTTCCATCACAGTTTGGCCTTTGATGGTAAATGAACTTGTAAATACTTGATATCAGATTTTCTTCTACAAGTTGTTTTAAATCCTTCTACTGAATAAGGGCTACATTAACTTTTTTGTTTTTAATTAGCTAATGTTTCAATGAAAATAGAATAACACCTACAAAATCACTTCCATCTGTGCCTGTTCAACTTAAGAAGCTTTTTGGTGTTTTCTGTAACAGCTGAGAACAAGATGATGATGATGTCTGTGATTGAGTGTTTCACTAAATTTGGTATCTCTTTGCTTCCTTTAGCTCCAATGTCCCCGCTCCAAAACAGACTTCTTTTTCACTTGGCTCACAAGGTTTGAAAATTATCACTAATACTTTGTGTCTTTTCTTGTTTCTCTCTGTGCTGTTATAGTTTGTCTTTAAGTTTGTTCTGTATCACCTGTGTTTGTCTTCAATATAAGTAACGAGATTGTACCCTCTCCCGGTTTATTATTTTAGCTCAATATCTCTTATCCTGATATTGTGTCTCAGTTCAACGATGAAAAGAGACTCATGGGTTTCCACCAGAACCTAAAGGATGTGACAGAGGACCAGCTGAGCCTGGCATCCATCCACTACATGCGCTCACATTACCAGGAGGCCATAGACGTCTATAAACGCCTTCTCCTGCAGAACAGGTCTGAACTTCGTCCTCCCTTTCACTCCCTGGTTTGTGTGTTTTAGAGCGACAAGTTTAACAGCAGCGTTGGTCTTCATGAACTTCACACCAGGGGTGTCCAACTGTTTCCATGTGTGGGTCAAAACTATCCAGATGAAAGGACTCGTGGGACACAAAAATGTGAATTTAACTCAATGTGAACAATATTTTTGAGAAAGGACCAAAGTTTAATAATTTTGGTGGAGAAAGAGTTTTAAATTGTTGTCGATCCAAAACTTTAACAGCCTCATAAACACTAAGCTTATATTTTTTAATTAAAATTATTTGATTTGTTGAGTCTATGTTTGTTGTTTTCTTGTGTTTGTAAAGTTCATTTTAGTCTGTTCTCTACAACAAAAGCGTAATCTGGATAATTGTCCTTTTAAAAAGGGGTCGATCAGCCATAGGACCATGGACAGACCAAAAGGCTGATCCAAGTTCTGAAAAATGGTCCAGCTGTCTGTCGCTACAACAGATTTATAGAAGGTTTGATAAAGTTGATCAACTCGTATGTAGATGATACCAAATCAGATTCATTTCAAAATGTCCAATTTCCTCTGGATTATTTTTATCAGCTGCAATATTTAGCCAAGTTTTATTAATCGTTATTCAAAAGTCTCCTTTCTGGTAGAAACCAGTAAAGAATTTTGGTGCTTTGTACCATGAAGTGAAAATAAAAAGATTACACTAGTACCTCGCTACTTTGCGGTTCATTTTTCGCAGACTCGCTCTTTCACAGTTTTTCACTTCTCGCAGAGCTTCAGGGTACGGATCCTTCTCGATAAACAAGGGACTACTGTATAGCTAAAGGTTTGTATTTTACGACGGAGTATTACGACCACGCTAAAAAAAAAAAATTACATTACAAGAAAAAAGTCATATTACTAGAATAAAGTCATAATATTACTAGAATAAAGTCATAATATTACGAGAATAAACTTGTAATACATTCTGGGTTGGCTCCACCTGCTGTGGACGGCCTCCAATGCGAGTCACTGTGTTTATGAAGTACTCTACGATCACTTTTAGGTCTCTGTTTGTGAAATATGCCTCCATCCACATTATGTGATGACTAAATCTGTCAATGCAGCCATTAATTGCAATGCCATACAGCTTGAGTTTATCATAAGAGTCCATATGCCACAGTGCATTGGACCCCCTGCTATATGTATTGCATTCATCATTTTACCACAGACTGCTTTTTCATGTCGAAGTTCTGATAATATTACGACTTTATTCTCATATTGTTTCTACTTTATTCTCGTAATTTCATTTTTTTTTCTTAGCGTGGCCCCAATACTCCATTGTAGTATTTTGCTTCTCATTTTGAGAAGACTGTTTTTCATCAGTTTTGCTATTAAATCTAAACTTTATGTAAAACAGGATTACCAACTAATCTGCAGAAAGTCTGCATCGACCTCTTAAGCCTGCTGAACAAAATGATACCATTCTTAAACTGCAGTTGTGGGCCGCACAAAATCACTCCAACGGCCACAAATGGCCCACGGGCCACACTTTGGCCACCCGTGCCTTAAGGAATAAAAACACTGATACAAGTGTCAGCAACAGACCATGGAAGTACACTCCAAAAACTTGTTGAACTGACATAAAAACAAATGTGAAAAAAAAAAATTCAAACATTTTTTGTCTCGTTCAAGGTAAAATGATTCTCTAACTTCAGATATTTTGGTTGAATCAACATAATTTTTCAGGATTTATTCAAATATTTTTATTCAAAAAGAGTCTGGTTCATTTTATTTGGGTGGATCTACCACTAGTGACAAACTGAGTCGGTCCTCAAGGATTGTGTTGACCAAGCCATTTATGCTCTGTTAAAATTACATCCATTTTTTTACCCACATTTGTGTGAAGGGTCATAGGCAGCCTATCTCCAGAGTCTTTGGGCAGGAGGTGGGGTGTCCTGATCAGGATGCCAGTCCATCACAGGACTGGACTGTCCTTTCTAATCCTGTCCTGTGATGGTCTGGCAGCCATAGACCCTCTGTTACAGTCGCAGAGACAAATCAACTGTCACGCTTCATTTACTCCTAAGATGACGTATATAACATTGTTTTGGTCTCTGGGAGGAAACCAGGGTACGTGGTAAACTTCACACGTGCACAGAAAGAACATGTAAACTTTGCACAGGAAGGCCCAAATCAAGCTGTGACCTGTTCTTGCTGTGAGGCGGCAGCTCTAACCACCGCTTCACCGTGCCACCTGTTGATAAAACTAAAAAAAATGATCAATTCTGAAAGATCAATATAACTGTTTATTTGCTGAACTTAAATTGTATCTTCATTCAGCAAATTATTATTTTAAGTGTACATTCCCACACCAGAGACATTACATACCCATCCGATGAGTTCTGGTGTTCTTTCCTGGAAGGTATGCCTGAAAAACCTCCTAAGGGAGACATGTTAATCCTCATTCTCACTTCAACCCTGTGGAGCCAGATTATTTTAGCCATTTGTATCAGGATCTCATTGTTTTGGTTGGGATGTATAAAACACGACTATAGGTGGAGGTTGGAATGTAGCTGGACCAGTAAGTCAGCAGCTTTGCCTTTTGGCTCAGCTCCTTCTTCACCACAACAAACATCTTTATCCCGATCCACTGATCTACCTCCCACCATCTATCCTTCCATCATTTGAACTGCTCTGATTGCGACAAACACTCAACCAAACACCAGCTTCAAGAGAAATCATATGAGAAATACTTTCAAACTTCTCAGAGGAAGTTCTTAACTTTATAAACAAGAAGGTGGAATGAGTCCCAAAACCAGTTTTCACTGTTGCTGCTCGTCTTTTCAGAGATTACCTGGCACTGAAAGTGTACGTGGCTCTGTGTTACTACAAGCTGGACTACTATGACGTGTCCCAGGAGGTGTTGGCCGTGTACCTGCAGAACATCCCTGACTCCACCACCGCTTTGAACCTGAAGGCCTGCAACCACTACAGGCTTTACAACGGCAAGGCAGCTGAGGTGCTCAGCATTTGACTGGTCCCTGCTCTTACATGATCACAGTCATATGTTTGAAAAGGTTTAACTCATGAAGTAGAGATAACTGAAAGGACTGCTTGTTTGGAAACTTTTAATTAAAAAACCTGATATGCAGCATTATAAAAAGTATTACTTTTACCACCAACATTCTCCATTCTTCATGTGCCTTATACTAACAGGTTATTATAAACACTGTAGCAGTGCTCGTAACGCGTTTCTTAAACGTGCCTAACTGGTGTGTGGTTTTTGTCTCAGGCTGAGTTGAAGAACTTAATTGACATCTCTTCCTGCTCCTTTGAGTTTGCAAAGGAGCTTATTCGACACAACCTGGTAAGCTCCTTCCAAGCACCAGCTGTGAGTGTGTGTGTGTATGCAGTGGGGTCTTACATGCTGAACTTCCTCCCTGTGCTCTGCAGGTGGTATTTCGTGGTGGGGAGGGGGCGTTGCAAGTGCTGCCTCCTCTGATCGATGTGATCCCTGAAGCCAGACTCAACCTGGTCATTTACTATCTGAGACAGGGTGTGTGCACACATCACAACAGTTTTTAATGAACGTGCAACTTTAAAAGTCTATAAAAAGTCTGCAAATGACGTTAAATCCACGTTGCTCTGATGTTAAAGTAAGACAACCTTTCTGTTTTTATGTAGAATATTTTGGGCATTTTAAAGAGGGGTTCTGTAGAAAGGTGATGAACACATAATATCTGTTGTTGTAAATAGCTTTTTGATCAACTGAGTTGAATTCTGACAGGCCTGACAGGCTAATGGCTAGTCTAAACACAGCTCAGTTAAAATGAGGTTACTACTGTTTCAAACAGCTCCAATCCTCAAAACATCATAATAATTATTACAAATGCTGTTTGAAAAACATTTACACTGTGATATACAACAAACATTATAAGATACAATACACCAGTACTCATTTGTGCACTGGTTTATGCAACTAAAGCAATGGTTCCCAACCATGGTCCATGAGGAACGCCATACTGCATGTTTTAGTTGTTTCCCTGCTCCAACACACCTGAGTCAATGATTTTATTACTTCATCAAGTTCTGCCAAAGCCTGTTAATCACCCATTAATTCAAACCAGGCATGTCAAAGCAGGGAAACAACTAAAACATGCAGGATGGTGTTCCTCAAGGACCATGGTTGGGAACCACTCAACTAAAGCCATGTCCATGTTGTGACAAGTCTACCAGTCTGTGAGGTCTACAGTATAAAAACAGACAGGGAACAAAAAATAACATTTGATTTATTATCTTAGTTTATTTCATGAGTTCAGTTAGTTTGTTTAATTATGTAAATATTACTTATTAAAAAACAAAACAAGTTTACGAATCTTGTAATGCATTGTAATTCTACATAATCCCACTTAAAAATGACCAAATATCAATTTAAATTTCAGCCTATAGAATAAAGAAAAACAAACAATTCAGGGGACTGACAAATATCTGGTATCATGAATTGTCCTCGTTCTGTCACTGAAGATCAAAGTCATCAGAAAACCTTTCACTCTGAGTAATAAAATGTTTCTTAGACTCAAAAGCTGATTGAGGTTGACCTGTCTGAACCTGATTACAACGATGTGTTGGAGCAAAAGCAGCGCTGTTTGTCACCATATTCAAGTCAGCACAGGGCCAGTGGTGTGTTTGCAGCTGCAGCTGAATCCTTCATCTGTGTGCAGAGAATCATACATGATGTTTAGGACTGTTGGGGAGTTGAAGGAGGAGTTGACCTTTCATGGTAGCCTTCTGTTAAAGTGTACATTTAAATAAACAGCGTGAATGAATCCAGTCCATGTTTACTTGATGTCTAGTTGCTGAAGTTGCCTTTTTTTTTTAAAGAAAATTATTCTTACGGTATTTCCTGACTGGCTTGTTTCTTTTCTACATTTCCAGATGATATCCAGGAAGCTTACAACCTCATCCAAGATTTAGTTCCGTCCACACCTCAGGTGACATAATTTGTTTCTGTCGTAAGTCGTAATTTTTTTTCTCTGCCTGCATTATCAGTAACGTAGCGCTCTGCTAATCCTCCACCGGCTGACATCCACCAGCGTTAGTAACGTAGGGCTCTCTCCCTGCAGAGTAGCTGGACTCTTAGCAACAGGGTGAGACGTTTTAGCTGCTGCTCCTCCTTGACTTCAGAACAAGCAGAAGATGATGGATGAACGGATGGATGTTTTTAAAGAGTAATGTACCTGTTAAATGTATATCAGTGGTTGACTGACTGTTTTTACAGGAGTATATTTTGAAGGGAGTGGTCAACGCTGCTCTTGGACAGGAGCTTGGATCAGTGAGTATTTCTGTTCAACTTGCACATTCCAGTACACACATGATAGCTCCGTGTGAAAGTCAAAGTGTGTTTTTGTGCCTTTATCTTGCAGAGGAAACACTTGAAAAGTGCTCGGGAGTTCTTTCAGCTGGTCGGAGGCTCAGCGAGCGAATGTGGTACGCCAAACAAAATAGTTCCTTTTGTGTTCTTGAAATCCAGAATGTGGGAGAAATATGTACAATTGTTTCTATTTTCAGATACTATCCCTGGCAGACAGTGCATGGCTTCCTGCTTCTTCCTCTTAAAGCAGTTTGAAGATGTTCTCATCTACCTCAACTCTGTGAAGGTTAGTGAAGCTTCAGTGTTGCTGCTGAAGGTAAAGAAGCGGCTCTTGTTTAGAAACGCTGCTTCAGATTAAAGGTGGTACTTCCAGTATTTTATTCATGTGCATTTTTCTTTCTTCGTCAAGATTATCAACAAAACGCTGACGTTCTGTTGGCACCGTTTTCCTGGATGTGTGAGCACTTCTAACTTTTTTGCATATAAGCTGTGCTTTTATTTTTCAGAATTACTTCTACAACGATGACACATTCAACTTTAACTACGCCCAGGCTAAAGCGGCGCTCGGTAACTACAAAGCAGCAGAGGAGGTGAAAGTCTGACCTGTCACATTTTATTTTGCTCAACGTTTTGTTTTACTTCTTTTCTCTTTTCTTTTTGTAGGTTTTTCTACTTATTCAGAGTGAGAAGATCAAGAATGACTATGTTTATCTCAGCTGGCTGGCACGATGCTGTACGTATGACAGTTGACTTATTCATAGTGAAGTTAATGGTAAAAAGTGTTTTATGATTCTTTTAAATAAATCATAAGTCGCACCAGGGCATGCTTTAATGAACGAGATAGATAAAAATAAACACTTTCAGAAGGATGAACAATTTTGTACCAAATAATCAATAAAAATTAAAAGCCACAAAAGTTTTCTAAAATTTGAATTTTCATGCTAACGCAATTTCTAACGCTTATTTTGTAGTTAATATCACTCAGAAACAACACATTCAACTTAACAGCAAACATTTACATCTAAATTCAGCCATTACTTATGAGTATTTACACAGATTCTCCTGTTTGAGTTCAGAAGGTTTTCATGCAGCTCATTTGTAAATGATCTTAGTCCCAAGTTTTACTTTACCTCTCTCCACCGCTCAGTTCCCTCCAAAAACCTAAACAATGCAAAAATAATCCTTTTCTCTTCAGTAACCTGGCTGCTCTTTGTGGCCTTTTAAGAGAGACAATGAAAACTGTCCAGTAGTCTCTTTCTGGTGAGATAAGAAACACTCAGAGGCTGCACACATCTGGTATATGAGTCGCGTTTATTACCGATTTATTTACAAACATTTCAATAACTCTGCTTATGAAACATGTAGTGTGAGAGGAAGAGCATATACCGTATTTTCCGCTGTATAAGTCGCATCAGTCCAAAAATGTTTAATAAAGTGGAAAAAAACATAAATACGTCGCTTCGCCGTATACGTCGCATCTATTACGCGTCACCGCTGACACGTCGTGTTTGTTATGCGTCACTGCTGACCACCCGGAAACGTGGGCCGGTGTTGTGCCAAAAATCGATTGGCTGCCAAAATGGCGGCTGCAGGAGCGTGCACGGGAAGACTTTAACAAGAATTTAACAAGATTAACACTTAAAAACAATTATTTGTTTGTTGCAAATTATAGCAAAGGTGTGTCTCAATTGAACTTTTCCTTAATAAATTAACTTTAATGGTCAAATCAGCTGCATTTCACCTGGGTGACACAGTGAAATTCAATTCAGTTCAATTCAGTTTATTTATATAGCGCCAATTCACAACAAAGTTGTCTCAGGGCACTTTACAGGAACATTCACATAAAAGCCAATTAATAAAGTTCTCTATCTAAGGAATCCAGCAGACAAGTTGAATCTTGGCTTCGTTGCAGTCTCCCATCCTGAGCAAGCACAGTGGCAACAGTGGAAAGGAAAAACTCCCTTTTAAAAGGAAGAACCTCCAGCAGAACCAGGCTCAGGACAAGCGGCCATCTGCTTTGACCGGCTGGTTAAAGCAGATGATTTGACGTTTGCTCCAGGAGTTCCGGAGCGAGACGAAGGTGACTTGGTATGGCAAGCCAAGTGTCTCATTAATACCACATTCACCTATTAATGAGACACTTGGATTGCAATAAGGCTTGAGGACCCTCTAGCAGCTGAAAATGGTAATGTTCAATATTTTCCATGTCAGAATAAATGAAATTGTCAGATCTCAGCCAAAAATTGGTTAAAAATATGGGGAAAGAAACGTATATTAGTCGCTTTGACATATAAGTTACAGGACTTGTCAATTTATGCAAAAAAGGTGCGACTTATATGGCAAAAAATACGGTAATTGTTTGTGACCTTACAGAGCTGAGTGTTAAAGTAACTCTGCTAATAAACACACACGACTTTTAATTGTTTGTTGGATATATCCATCAGTGAGCCACAAGTGGTTTTATGTGTACACAATAAACAAAACGTTGCACATGTGGTCGACCATTCAAAACAAAAATTGCTCAGATGTTCTTGGCGTTCCTGATACAGTGACCACAGCAGGTACGATCCACAGCAGCAGTGTGGCGGTGGAGCCAGACAGGATCTTTACTGATGTAGAATAAAAGAGGCTTTGTCAAAGAAGCAGCAGAGAATCAATAATTCAACCTTTATTTATAATTGCACAATTAACATTTGTGCACAGTATCCCTCTCTTCTTATTGTTGCTCTTTGTCATAGTCTGTTATAATCATTACGCCTCGCTCTTCAGTCATGAATTACAAATGAAGTGTCCGAATTTTTATGCATTTTGAACAAAAAGCATCAAATGGCATTTAAAATTAACCCTCTTTATGTAAGTGCACACAGATTCTGTAGAGGAAATACTGATGAAGGAAAACAATCACAACAACCATTATGGTAGCCATTATCTCTGGAGATTTGAGCTTTTCTCATCTAATACTGACTTCTGAGTTGAATGCGTCTGTTGGTGCACCTCACATTGAGTTAAATACCACACAGCAGAATTTAACATGTCTGACTGAGGGGGGAGTATGCAACATGTGGCCCTTAGGGCTCACTGCTGAGGCTCTCTAGAGCTTTAACCAAAACTAACACTGAAATAAATATTACTTAAATAAATAACCACAAGAGAAAAACAATAGAGATATATATGGCAAATTATTCTGATAAGTGAGATTTCATGCCAAGAAAGAGCACCACAGACGCCATCTTTGTTTTGATGATGCTGATGTACAGAGAGGGTCAGAAAGACCTCCATTGTCTTTGTGGATTTAGAAAAGCATTATGACAGGGTGCTGAGGGAGGAGGTGTGGTATTGCATGAGAAAATCAGGAGTGGCAGAGAAGTATGTTAGACTGCAGTATGTTTGGCAGCACGACTGCTCAATGGTTAGCACTGTTACCTCACAGCAAGAAGGTTCTGGGTGCAATTCCCAGTTGGACCTGGGGTCTTTCTGTGTGGAGTTTGCATGTTCTTCTCGTGCTTAAATGGGTTTTCTCCGGGTACTCCGGTTTCCTCCCACAGAACAAAAACATGCATGTTAGACTGCCTTCAGGTCCTGGCCTCTCTTGCAAAAGAGATCTGTGCTCTCAGTGGGATTTGCCTGTTTAAATAAAGGTTAATAATAAAGACTGGTACAGGACATGTACGAGGACAGCAGGACAGTGGTGAGATGGGCTGTAGGAGTGACGGATAGCTTCAAGGTGGAGGTGGGAGTGCATCAAGGATCAGCTCTTAGTCCCTTCTTGTTTACTCTGGTGATGGACCGACTAACAGATGAGGTCAGGCAGGAATCCCTGTGGAATATGATGTTTGCAGATGATGTGATCTGTGGTGAGAACAAGGAACAGGTGGAAGAGAACTTGGAGAGGTGGAGGTATGCTCTTGAAAGAAGAGGAATGAAAATCAGCCGTAGTAAGACACAGTACATGTGTGTGAATGAGACGGAGGCTGGTGGAGCAGTGAGGCTACAAGGAGCAGAGGTCACAAAGGTGCAGGACTTCAAGGACTTGGGGTCCACTGTCCAGGAAAATGGGGAGTGTGGTGAAGAGGTGAAGAAGAGAGTCCAGGCAGGATGGAGTGGATGGAGAGAAGTTTCAGGAGTGATTTGCAACAAAAGGGTGTCAGCAAAGGTCAAAGGAAAAGTTTACAAGACAGTGGTGAGACCAGCTGTGTTGTATGGTCTGGAGACAGAGACATGGACAAAAAGATAGGAGAAAGAACTGGAAGTGGCAGAAATGAAGATGTTGAGGTTCTCCTTAGGAGTGACAAGGCTGGATAAGATTATGAATGAGATCATCAGAGGTATAGCACAGGTTGAACAACTGGGAGATAAAGTTAGAGAGACCAGACTGAGATGGTTTGGACATGTCCAGAGGAGGGACAGTGGGTATATTGGTAGAAGAATGTTAGAAATGCAGCTGCCACAAAAAAGACAAAGAGGAGATATATAGATGAAGTTAGAGAGGACATGAAGGTAGTTGGAATGAGGACAGAGCGAGACGGAGGAGGAGGACTCACTGTGGAGACACCTTGAGAGGGAAAAGCCGAAAGAATAATTCTGATGACACCAAAAATGAAAAGAAACAGCTTGTCTTTGATAAAATATGTTGAATAACGGGCAGCTGTGGCTGAGTGGTTAGAGCAGTCGTCCTCCAATGCGAGAGTTGTGGGTTCGGATCCACCAGCAGTCACATGCTGAAGTGTCACTGGGCAAGACACTGAACCCCTCATTGCCTCTGATGTGTGTCCCATCAGTGTATGAATGTGATAAATCTCTGATTAGTCTCTTTAGAATGATTTGTTCAATTAGCTTTGTAGAGATCTAGTATAGAGCTGTATGAATGGATAAATGAGGCACAGATTTTAGTGTAAAGTGCTTTGAGTGTCTTGAAATAAGATAGAAAGGTGCTATATAAGTACAGTCCATTTAATAAATGTGTCATTCATAAATAAATGAGTTGTGACCGAATGAATGAGATCGCAGATACGAGCGGCTGAAATGAGTTTTCTCCGCAGGGTGTCTGGGCTCTCCCTTACAGATAGGGTGAGAAGCTCGGTCATCCGGGAGGGACTCAGAGTAGAGCCGCTGCTTCTCCACGTCGAGAGGAGCCAGTTGAGGTGGCTCGGGCATCTGGTTAGGATGCCTCCTGGATGCCTCCCTGGTGAGGTGTTCCAGACACGTCCCACCAGGAGGAGACCCAGAGGAAGACCCAGGACACGCTGGAGGGACTATGTTTCTTGGCTGGCCTGGGAGCGCCTTAGGATTCCCCCGGAGGAGCTAGACCAAGTGGCTGGAGAGAGGGAAGTCTGGGCCTCCCCGCTACCCCCGCTACCTTCCATATGAATGGTTGAATAAAATTAATTAAATGAAGATCTTTGCCCTTTTTAGATGCAGTTATCAAATCACGATTAGATAGCCAACAAATTAGCCTAATTTTCTTATTTTCATATCGTCTAAATGTTTTATAAATGTTTTTTAAGTGAGATACTTTTGTTAATTTTCCACAAATATAGAACAACTTGCAAAGGCCTGTATATAAAAGCTCAGTGTTTAGATTTTGTCAAAGATTGTCTATAAAAGAATGTATTATTTTTTATTTTATTTGTTATTTTTTGATAATGTAGAACTACTGTCAACAGTTAACTTATATAAACCTACTAAGCTGTGTTACTTGGATAACTTTTCCCAAACTTTGAGAGCATCTTGCAACTCTGGACCGTCTTTATGACTCTTGATCGTGACGTTTGTAGACATCAGTCTCTAACAGACAGGAAACTGGCTGTTTATTGTCAGCATACGTTTTGGTGCTTTTCTTCAAAGAGTCCTTCAGAAACCATATCCATGAAGACAGAACTGAAGGTTTTCTTTATGCCACTTCACCGTGACTTGGATCTGACATCACTGCCAGGTTTCTAGCCTCAGGCCTGGAAAGAACTTAAGGTCACTCCTTCATTCAGCTAATGTTACACTCAGCACAGGAATGGAAAGCTCCACTAAAACAGTTTTTTCCTCTCTTTAACTTAATTTACACCAGTAAAAGCTGCTCAAGGCCTTCAATATTTTCCACATTTATATCTTTATGAGTTGAGACGGTCTGGAAGTGGTGAATTATTGAACCCGCTGATCTTCTTTTTGACAGACATAATGAACCAGAAGGGTCAGCTTGCCTGGGAGCTCTATCTGAAAATGGGCACTTCCTCAGATTCCTTCAGTCTGCTGCAGCTTATCGCCAACGACTGCTACAAGGTAAAGTCCTCCTCTGGCTGCCTCACGCAGAATCTGATGATCCATATATGTGGAATACATTTGAAGTCTCTGGATGTTTGTCAGAAAATGTGATTATTTGATTGTTTCTCATAATTAGATATTTGTTAGATAAAAATATCCTTGAATTATCTACTTAAATAATGGAGCTCACACACAGACAGGAGAAGATTTTTAATCTGGTTTACTTGCAAGGGCAGAGTTCACACAGGCTTACACAGATGTTTCAACGTTTTATGCTTAAAACCCCGTCATGATAATCTGGAACGGACAGTGTGCAGGAAGTGTTTTTTATACATGCTTATCAGCACGATGACCTCAGCCTCTTAGACTTGGGGGCATCAGGTGCCTACAGGCTCCTCTGGGAGAGAAAAAGACTCTTTGATCTCACACACATGGTTCAACATTAATTTAATATTAACAGTCTTAAACATCCATAAACCTTTACCTAAATTCTCCTGACGGTATTTTCTTAAAATAAAATCTATCCTACTCCTGAAGTGATGATTTACTATTTTACTTTATTAAGGGTGATAATGCATACAGTAGGTATTGAAGCACCTTTCTTATTGTCTTTGTCCATTTTTCATCCATTTTTGTTTTATTTTCTACTCCTTCCACAGCTTTTGGAAACCGTACATAACACACCTGAAGACTTGTCTTGATTGGGAATCATGTGCTTTGACGTTTAGTCACTACAATCTACAATATAGTCGAAATGTGAGAAAAGAAATGGAAAAAATAACAAGTGTCAAAAGAAGGGAGAAAACAGCCCTGTTTGGAGCTTTATACCTCAGACATACTTCCAGTAGCAACATTTAAGGTTTAAACACAGAAGGTTGGACTTTACACAGCTGAGCTGACATTTTGACGTCTTTAACAGTTTTTACCTAATCACAGTTTTGGCATTAAGATTTGACAGATTGATTAAACTTTAGAGATGTCTAAACTTTTACAAAATTTTTGAATTTTTTTCTTTTCTCCCCCGTCTTTACTTCTCTCATACAATTTGTGCATCAAAATACAGACATTCCTGTTTTATCCACCCAGTGTGTCTCTCACTAGATAGATAGATACTTTATTCATCCCCTGGGGGGAAAATTTGAGGCATCCAGTACCTAGACCTGTCACGATAAACAATAAATCAATTAATCTCATGATAAATGAAAGTTATCAACCTCATTTTCATTTATCAGTTTTATCGTTTCATGTCTCTCTTTCTACTGAAGACATTGGATGAGAAAAGGCTCAACTCCGGTGCTCTTCACTGACCTCTCCCTTTCTCTTTTCTCTTTGAAATTTGTTTTAACGATCCAAATATTGTGTTTTTGGATCGTTAAAAGCAGCTAAGCTACGAGCTAAGCTAACAGACTAACCTCGGGAATAAACCTCCAACTTGTTGAAGCTCCAAAATTCACAGTGAAACCCGTGCCTTTGTGTATAAAATTGTTTTTCTCCGAAAAAAGAAGCTGAGAACTTGTTTACTGTTTTTTTATTGAAAGCTTTGTGTGAAAAATGCTATGCTAAAGAGCTCAAACCACACCGAGCGGCCGCCATTTTGAGAACCGAAAACAGGAAGGAAAGACGGCCCATGTCACGTCAAAGGGCCTCCCTCCCATTTTTCTTAAAGAGACATGCTGCTCGCTCCCTCACTATCCATCCTTCAGTTCAAACAGTCTTATACTACCATCTGGTGGTCAAAAAAACATACTACACTCAAAACAAATTAACAAACATTTCTTCTTAAATTTGACAGTAATTACTAATTATTGTCAAATTTCAAACAAAATAATCGTTTATCGCAACAATTTCTGAGAAAATAATCGTGCAGCAAAATTTGTTATGGTGACAGGCCTACCAGTAGCATGTTCTAATTATACAGAAAAAAGACACACATGAGTTAATCCAAAAAAAGAAGCAGAATACACAAATTTGGAAAAAGACAATATGCACATGCACATGGTGGTAGGGAGTACTACATTCATGATTCATTCATTCAACCTTTATTTCTACAGGTTAGTCTCATTGAGCCACGAGGGCTCACTTACAAGAGAGACTTGTTTTAAATAAAGAACACAGATGAGGTACAGACAACAATAGATAATCATATGATTAGCCTATGTATACATACAAACACATCATACATCAGTACTACTATAGGACCATCACCTTTAACGCCATAACCGCTGTCAAAATATGTGATTTTCAATATTTTTGATACAAATTTTATGCTTCTAACCCAATTTCTACATCAGTAAATGATCTTTGGGGATAATTGTAATAAAAACTCGTCAGGGTTTTTCAAAGAAATAGCTTTTGAAAACAGCGTATATTCCTTGCTTTTGTTTACCACTACATTAGTCAGTCATTAGTTTGGAACGTTTCAGCTCAGCTTATCTGAGTATGAGTTTTGCTTTAATGCTCTCGATTCACTCAACAAAAAATTACTCTACTTCTGTCGACTGTCGTCCGTACAGTGTTCAATGCCGTTGTGCTCCTCCAAACTATTTTTACATCTGGGGATTATTTTACAGACTCAATATTCCTTTTACGATGAGACTGTCCGAAGTGTACCCGTCAGTTTCCAAACGTAAACAAACGACTGTTTGTTGGCAACAAAACATGATTCTGCTGATTTCACTTATTATTAAGTACATTTTATTTATAAAGCACATTTAAGAACAGCAGTTGTTACCAAATTGCTTAACAAATTGCTTAACAATTAAAAAAACAAAAACAATGGCAGTAATTTAAAGGAAAAACTAAATTTTATTTAAAGCATCAAATTAAAATTAGCATCAATTAAAAATTCTATGGTACATTTTGGTAGGGAACGACGCATGTTTAGGTGTTATTTTTATCTTAGATGATACACATTTACAAAAACAAAATCAAACCGAGAACATAAATAAATGTGTTTAATAGCTATTATTGCTTTAATAAAAATGGACGAAGAGTCACAAATAAGGTTAAATCAGGTCATCTGGACAGTTTTTTTGGGGAGAAACGTTTCATCTTTCATCCAAAAGACTTCTTCAGTCTGAGGCCTGCCAACCAGGTCTGTCTTATAAATAGCTCCTCGTTGATGTGTTTCAAGCCAACCTGCTGTGGAGTTCACAGAAACTGGCTTTACACATGCAAGAAGGGACCATCCGTCCAAAACAATCCATCATCACTGCATAACAATCAGATGTCTTAGACCTGATGGCAGACTGGTCCAACAAGTTGAAGACATCATCCCCAGTTTTAAAGGAAAATGTCTGTTCTCAGAAAGTTTGAGGACGAAGAGTCCCAACCAGAGTATCCTCCAGCTGTTCTGAATTTGAGCTGAAATGTCAGACACTGTCCTGCAGCCAGCCACTGGGAGGAGCTCGTTCTTTGTGGCTTCAGCTTCCAGCTCCTAGTCCTGTCTCTACTAATAATATATCACAATGTATAGGAGTTAGATTTTTTTCTCAAATCCCCCAGAGTGCAGAGTGTACTTAAGTTTTTAACGACTTTCGTTGTTTCTGAGAACAGATTTTAGTTCTTTAAAACTGCGCATGAAGAGTGTTCAACTTGTCGTGTCTTCTTCATAAATCACTGTAGACACATACAAATGTTAATGTGTGACAACCAGATGCTTCTACTTAAATTTGATTTACAGTTTCCACTCAGTGACTGTTCAAGGCTTATTTTGCAGTCTGTGTTTCTGCCTATCTTAAGGAGTGAAAGACAGGTGTGTTGTTACCATGGTGACCTTATTATGAGCCTGCAGCTTTCCATTTGATCTAGGTTCTCCTTGCTCTTCTTACACCGTTTAAATATCAAATCGTCTGCGTTGCACGCTGGGCTGTGGAGAAGAAAGTCCATGTTTGTTGGACTTTCAAGCATCAGCTGCACTGACACCCGCTGAAACTTCTTGACATTTATTTGATTACTGACTTTTGAATCAGTCTAGATGTCTGCCTGTTGCTTCTGTGGTGTTTTCTTTCTCTAGTCATTCAGCCATGTTGGTTTAAACCTGTGATCAGCGGCACGGTGTGGATAGCACGTTTAGGTGGAGTCGTAAGGGAACAGCTGAATTTAATTTGGACTCATTTGTGCCGACAAGGCTAAATTGGCATATACCAGCTCATGATGTGTCATTTCAGATGGGCCAGTTCTTCTATGCTGCCAAAGCATTTGATGCACTGGAGAAGCTGGACCCAGGCTCTAATTACTGGGAGGGCAAACGAGGAGCATGTGTCGGCATCTTTCAGCTCATACTGGCCAACAAGGAGCCCAAGTATGTTTTTCTTTTCCTCCTGTTTGCTGATTTAGGGCGTGATTGTATTGTCTTCTGTCTGTGTGAGTGGGTGTGATGGAATCTAAAATAAACAAGACAAACGATGCATTTTTTGGTCTAATCCTGTTTTCCTGCATATCCTGTTTGTGCTCCAGGGAGACACTTAAAGAGGTTTTGGTCCTGCTGCGAAATTCAGGAAACCCTCAGGTTGAGTACATCATCCGAGCAATGAAAAAGTGGGCCAAAGACAACAGAGTCCTGCTGTCGTGACAGAACACACGACTGTGTCAGCTGACAGGACTGAACGAGTGACACAAATAAAACGGGTTCATTTATTTGGTGTAACGGAGTGAATTTTATTCAAGCATTTATGTTTAGATCATATTTTTGTCTCTAAGTACATTTATGTTTATAATAAAATATGTATTTATATTTGAAATCATTTTTACTGTCTGTGATCATGTTTCTTACTGTAAAGTGTCCTTGGGTGTCCTGAAAGGCGCTTTTTAAGTAAAATTATTATTATTAATATCATTTGTTTCACTTTTAGCCAAAAAGTAGTAATTTGCTGTAACCCCCCCCCCCACACACACACACACACACACACACACACACACTAAAAACAGAAGCTGAACAGTCTGTAATCAAAAAGCATTTTTTTAAACGATAAAACCTCTAAATCCAAATGTTTTTCTACACTAAATCTTTAAATAGGGTTTTAATTAGTTATGTGTGATGGAAAAACAATACAGAAGGTTGCAAAAGTATTTGCCTCTTTAGTATTTAAAGTATTTTGTTGCCTTACAACTTATATGAAGAAAATTAATTTAAATTATTCTAAAACATAAACTGATAAATGGTGCGTGCACGTGCATTCACCCCAACCTTTATATGTAGAAGCCTCTTCATTTGTTAAAGTCCATCGTTTTTAGGATCAAATGCTCAACTGTTGCAACAGCCCCAGAATCAACACCAGAAAAACACCAAGCATCACGTGTTGAAGACCAGGAGACTCTCCACACCAGTCAGAGACACCAGTGGAGGAGCAGAGGTCAGGTCTGGGTATGAGAAATATCCCACAGAGCATTATTAAATCTAATATTGGAAAATGGGAAATAATGCAACCAAGGCAAAGCTGCAAATCAGGGTCTTCCACCAAAACCCACAAAAATGAACACTGCATGTATTAATCACAGAAACATCCAGGAGACCAAAGATAACCCTAGCTGTGCAAATCTTTGTTTAGAGATTGAAGTATATGTGCTCTTTTGTTACACCCAAAAATAGCAATAATATAAAGTATAAAAAAGAAACGGTATACAATGATTTAAGATATACACTAAAAGGTAATAATATAATAAGATGTCTTAAACAGCAGCCTGAACATGAGTCTTGTGAGCAGATGAATATAAATACAGCAGCTTATGAGTAAGAAATCAGCAGCATGGATAATCAGCAGCACAGATAAGATGACATCAATTAAAGTGGCATGACGGTGATTTTCCTGGTTAGGGATTTATGAGTCTTAACAGCTTCAGGGTAGAAGCTGTTCCTCAGTCTATTGGTTCTACACTTAATGCTCCGCAAAGTCACAGCCCATACATCAGTCTAACTGAGAATCTCTGCTGGGAGTTAAAGATTGTTGAACACAAGTAGCATCGTCCAACCTGACGAAGCTGGATCAGTTTTGTTATCAAGAACCAACAAAGAATCCAAACTAGATGAACCAAGCTCATGGAGATGGACTTGAATTCCATTCCATTCAAAATAATTTATTAATCCCAAAAGGAAATTAAATGTTGTTGTCATCATCCTGGTTTCATTAAGAGTTGTTAGACGCTGAGTGGCTGTGGGCAGGAAGGATCTGCAGCAGATCTGAAGAAACTGACTGCAGTTGCTGATCCGTTCACCCAGACCCACCGGGCCTCTCAGTCCTCCTGGGCAGCGGGATCATCTGAATGTTGGGCAGAACTCCTCCCTGAGCGATGGTTACTCCTCTCAGCAGCTTGTTGAGCTCCTCATCACTACAGACAGCCAGCTGCAGGTGTCAGGGGATGATCCTGGTCTTCTTGTTGTCATGAGCCATGTTTCCTGCCAGCTCCAAGGATCTTAGCAGTCAGTCACTCGAGCAACTCCGCCAGGTAGACGGAGATGCATCCATGTTGCCTCCTTTTCAACTCATTTGGGATTGTATTTGAGGTAATATTTGAGCTTTGAAATGTTAATCAGCTGCTCCCGATTGTAAAAAAAAAATAAAAAAAAATTGTTTTTACGTTTACGCTTCATAACAAACGTCCAAAAGTAAAAAGGTTTCAGTAAAAATCCTTCCAGTTGCACAGCATCTGATACCAGAGAAAATAATCTTCCGATAAAAGCCATTTACATGCAGAAAAAGAAGAAATAAAGTTTTCAAAAGCAATATCCCAGAATGAAAGTAACAGAGCTACTCCAGCATGCAGCCCCCTTGAGCGGCACCATTCTAGAACTTTTTTTTTATGAAGAGACTAGATGCTCTATAACTGCTGCAAAAGTAGGCCTAACGAGGTGTTATGAAGATTTCATATTTACATGATGTCACTTGTTCGTATGTATCCAGTGTTGCATTTCAGGCCTTCACCTTGCTTGAAGGTCACAAGCTTGAATTAGTCACAACATTAAACTTGCTATAAGAATGCTGACAATCTTTCTCACACTTGGACGATATCATGGTATTGAAGAATCGCTCAAAGCTTTTGGTACATTTTTTTAATGTACTGTTACAAAATGGACAGCATACTGGCACAGTTGGTAAAGTTGCTGCCTCAATGAACAGCATACGCTGGTTCAAATCCCAGTCCAGGGCCTCTCTGGGTGGAATTTGCATGTTCTCTCTGTGCATGGGTGGGTTTTCTCCGGGTACTCCGGTGTCCTCCCACAGACCAAAAACATGCATGTTAGGCTGATTGGTAACTCTAAATTGTCTATGAAAGAGTGAATGGTTGTTTGTCTTGTTTGTCTCTGTGTTCCTGTGATGGACTGGAGACCTGTCCAGGGGGCCTCTCGCACGGTGATGGCTGGACATGGGCCCCAGTGACCTCCGTGACCCGAAAAGGAATAATTCAGCAGGTAAAGATAATGGATGGATGCACATTACAAAATGCATTAAGGCTTGCGGCTATGTGGTGATCATCACCACCCTTGAAAAACGTTTTGAGTTGTTTTGATGTTTTGAACCACTTTGGCCATGGCTGCCTCAGACAAGGCAGTGGGGGAGACGGTGGACTCCAGAAGCCATCTTATCACCATCAAACTGGTTAACCCACTATGTGAAGGTGCTATTTATAAGACTGAGTTTGTTGTGGCTTCTCGGACTGAGGAAGTCTTTTGTATGAAAGAAGAAACGTTTCAACAAAAATAAACTGTCCAGAGGACCTGAGTGAACTTTGTTGAATTTGTTATCTGGATTTGGTTGTCAGCAGCAAACTGGTTGATCCACTCTGAGAAGGTGCTATTTAAGAGACTGAGCTGAAAACAGCACCTCAGACTGAGGAAGTCTCTTGGATGAAAGACGAAATGTATCTACATTTTTTTGCTTTCTTTTGTTTTTTGTTTTTTTGAATGTCCAGAGGACCTGATTGAACTTTTTTTTTTTAGATGTTACCTGGATTATTGAGCATGAACTTGATGTTTTGAATTGTGTTTGTACATTTGAATGAGAGTTCTTGTTTCAATGTCACCTGAGAAATCAGAGGCCCCAGGTGTTCAGCTAATGCTTCTGCACTGAATTCAAAAACCGTTCAATACAAAAACAACTGGACTTTATTTGTAACAGAAGACATTTCTGCACTGAAGTTCCTCAGGTTCCTCTCTTGTGGAACCGACTTCCAGTTTCTGTCCATGTGGCTGACACATTGTCCAATTTTAATATTAGGCTTAAGTCTTTCCTTTTTTAAACTTAGGGTTGGCTTGAGTTTCCTGAGCCATCCCTTAGTTATGCTGCTATAGGCTTAGGCTGCTGGAGGACAAACTGACCACAAAAAACGTTAAGAGTACCAGGCCACTGTTAAATCAGAAAAAAAACAAATATTTCTCCCAAATCATCGCCTCAAACAGCCACAATCCCCGCATTCTTTTCAACACCATTAACACTATTTTAACCGTGCCTCAGTCTGCCAACATGGAGGTCTCTGCAGTTACGTGTGACGACTTTGCCAGTTTCTTTGTTAAAAAGGTTGAGTCGATCAGGTCACTGATTCCTCCTCGTACCACAGCTGACCCCTCTGTCTTTGTCCCCCCCACATCAGTCTTTAACCAGTTTGAACCCATTTCCCTCTCATTTCTAAATGACATCATTGGTCATATGAAACCCTCAGGTTCCCCTGCTGACCCCATCCCTGCATCGTTTTTTAAACAAGTCCTACCCTCCATTGGACCCTCTGTTCTTGACATTATAAACAGCACTATGGCTACAGCTGTAGTTCCTGATGATTTTAAACATGCAGTGGTAACTCCTTTAATAAAAAAAACCCGGACTTGTCCCTTCAACCTGCTCAAACCTCAGACCTATCTCCAAACTTCCCTTTCTTTCTAAGATCCTGGAGAAAATAGTTTTCACTCAATTAAACGAGTTCTTGAGTGGGAATTCTATTCTTGAGATCTTTCAGTCTGGCTTTAAGAAACTACACAGCACTGAAACAGCCTTAGTTAGGGTCTGCAACGACATTCTTCTGGCAAATGACTCCGGTCAGTCTGTAGTCCTGGTACTCCTTGACCTTACCGCTGCATTTGATACTGTGGATCACAGTATCCTTTTATCCCGGCTAGAACACTGGGTTGGGATTACTGGTGCAGCATTAGAATGGTTCCATTCATAACTGAGCGACAGGCGTTTCTGTGTTAATTTTGCTAACACTCTATCTACTTCAGTGCCTCTTTCCTGCGGGGTCCCGCAAGGCTCCATTCTTGGACCCCTTCTGTTTTCTTTGTATCTCCTCCCCTTAGGGTCTATCCTGAGGAAACATGGTTTTTCCTTTCATTGTTATGCTGATGACTCTCGGATTTATCTGCCGTTAACACCTAACAGTTCCTCCTCCATTCGCCCTTTGTTAAAATGTCTTGATGACATCAAGACTTGGATGACTGCAAACTTTTTGAGTTTTAATGATCAGAAGACTGAGGTCATCGTGTTTAACCCTAGCTCTGCCACTGTCACTGATCCTGCAAACCTGGACTCCCTTCAGCCATATCTAAAACAGTCTGTTACCAATCTTGGGATAGTTTTAGACTCGGACTTTAAGTTTAATAAACAGATAAATTCTGTTCTTCAAAAAAAGCTTCTTTCAGCTAAGGCAGATAGCTAAGCTCAAGTCCGTGCTGTCCAGATCTGACCTTGAAAAATTAGTCCATGCATTTATTACAACCCAGCTGGACTACTGTAACTCGCTTTATGCTGGGGTCAGTCAGGTCTCTCTCTCACGTCTCCAGCATGTCCAAAATGCTGCAGCTCGGCTACTAACATGAACTCGCAGGTTTGAGCACATTACTCCAGTTCTGTCCTCTCTTCACTGGCTTCCTGTGCGTGTCAGAGTTGATTTTAAGATTCTTCTGCTGACATTTAAGTGTGTTAATGGGCTTGCACCATCATACCTCTCCGACCTCCTTCATCCTTATACTCCTTCTCGGGCCTTGAGATCATCAGACCAGCTGCTTTTGGCCGTATCAAAAACCAGCTGAAGCTCAGAAGAGATCGGGCATTTTCAGTCATGGGCCCTAAACTCTGGAACAATCTGCCCATCAACATTCGACAGGCCACCTCAGTCTCTATTTTTAAATCTCTCCTCAAAACACACCTGTACTCATTGGCATTTAACACAGTGTGATCTCATTTGGTATTTCGTTGTTGATGATTGTGTTCATTCATTTTGCTTTTACTCCCTGTCATTTAACGCAGAGTGATTTGATTTAGTATTTCATCGTTTCTCATTATATTGAATGTTTTTATGCTTTTATTCATGTTGCTGTAATATCTTGTTATTAATATTTGATGCTGTGATCTTTTTTGGTAAGCACTTTGATAACAGTTACTGTTTTAAGTGTGCTATATAAATAAATGTGACTTGACATTTCTTCAGTACACTACTGTCTTTATTTAAGCAGTGCTTATAAGTCCAGGTGTAGCCATGCTGCACCATCATCTCTGATAAATGTGCTCATTTCTCATGGCTCTGTCCATCAACACAATAAAGAGGTGGTAGTTCAGATGTAGTTTGCAGTTTTGCTGGGTGGATCATCAAGTGACGTAGCTCCACTGGCCAATCAACAGCTGCTGCCTTCTTAAGTCAAAATCAGCACCTCAAGCAGTCCACTTGGAACCACAAACAAGGTGGTCCCATAAACTGGGCTGAGTGGGGGTGGGTACTGGCAGTGGGCAAGCCCTTAACTGGTGAGGTGTTGTGTGGAACCGACGAGTGATGAGACAGTGGCAAAGCACCATTAGTGTTGGAAAAGAAGGAATGCAGCACCACTTTTGCTTTGCTCCAATGAAACTCCAAGGACTGGTACAGCTGAGGAACCCCTCAGCCCAAAACAAAGACCAGAACAAAAACATGGAACAATCTGGACAAAATACTATGTTGTTGAATGGTTAAAGATAAATTGCAGTCTTTTTTTCATTCAACCTTTTTATTTATACAGGCTAGCCTCAGTGAGCCACAGGGACTCATTTACAAGAAAGATCTGTTCCAGACAGAACATATAAAGTACAGACAACAGTAAACAATGACAACAATAAACTACAGTGAAAATGCAGTTAATATAAGAGTAGTGTATAAAACAATAAAACAGTGTGAAATACTAAAATCAAGAACATATTTGCTTTGATTTTTCTATTGACATCATCAAATGTTTGAAGCCCCTTAAAGAAATCAAGGGAGACAACTTCAGTTCCTGTTTTACCAGATTGCAGGAGCTGAGTAGGAAAAGGCCTTTTTGCCAAATTCAGTCTGCACTGAGGGGACGCTGCAGGTAATGATGGCCTGAGAGCGCATGTTGTAACTGCACTGACGGCATGACATGTAGGAGGAGATATAACAAGGTAACAGACCAAGGAGGGATTTATAGATGAAAGTGAACCAGTGTGAGAGCCTGCGTGTAGATAATGATGACCAACTGAACAAGGAGTACAAAGTGCAGTGATGGTACGGTAGTTACAACCAGTTATGAATCTTAGAACTCCATGGTAGACAGCATCCAACATCTGCAAGCAGCTGGCAGGGGCATTCATATAAATACTGTCGCCATAGTCAATGGTCGGTAGGAAAGTAGTACAAGGTGTTTTCTGACATTCAGAGTTAAACAAGATGTATTTCTGAAAAAGAAACAGTTTTAATTTCAGTTGCTTTATCAAGTTTTTGTTTCCTTTATTTTACATTACAGTAATACTGAGCTTTCTTAACTTAAGTAATATACAATTTCTTGTATGACTTTTTTCTTAGGTTTACATGAACATTACAAATTGGATACATCCTTACATATCCAAATATTTATTTTGTTTAAAAGGAATTAGATTGTTTGGGTAATAGGGGAATTGTTGTTTTCTCAGTTTAACACAGTAATCAATTTATATTCTGCTGTTTTAATATGCCACTGCAGCAATGTAGGACAAAATGTGCTGGCGAAGAACAAAGTCCATACTTACGCCAAAGTAGAACAAACGCAGAACTGGTTTGTTCCACTTTTTGGAGTAAGTAGATGGCGGAAGAATCAGTTTTGTTGTGTGTTTCCTTGACTGATGAAGCCTTCCGGAGCAAAGGCAAAACGTTTCAGCACAAAAAAAGAAACTGTCCAGATGACCTGACTGAAAAATATTGGATGCTGGTGAAGATTCTCAGTCATCCAGGACATGGTAAATTCAAAAACGTTCAAGACAAAAACAACTGGACTTTATTTGTAACAGAAGACGTTTCGCTCCTCATCTGAGCTTTCTCAATTCAAAGAGCAGATCGTGTGAGGTTCAGGTTATAAAGCTGAGATAAGATACACATACATGTGCAGATTGACATCTCACAGAAGGGGTAGGAGAAAATGGAAAATATACATTACACAGGTTCCCAAACTTTTCCATGCCATGGCCCCCAAACAGCATTAGCTTCTGGCCGAGGCCCCGTTTGCAAACCCACAAACCAGGCTACAAAATGTGTAAAAAAAAAACATCAACTTTGAGAGTGTTTCAACTTTTATTCACTATATTCAATTAAATATTACATCTGCTGAGCATACAAATGTTACTAACATGTTTTAAACACTGTATTATATTCCCACTGAAAAAACCAACAACATATTTTCAACAAACTTTTGAACAGAGGAACAAAACAAGAAATCTAACCACTTAGATGGAAATGACAGATCCAGATTGCACTAGTGGAAAATGTTTATTACTATTTAGTATTTTTACTATTTTTAAAAGTCTTCTTCTCTCCAGCTTTCTGAGGGACCCCTAGCGCCGCCTGGCGGCCGCGGCCCAAACTTTGAAAGGCACTTATTCTGATGCATGCTCAATCCAAGTAGATAAATCTAACAAGGTCAGGTCCTCTGGACGGATTATTCTTTGTTGAAAGTAAAAAAAAAAAGAACAAAAAAGAAAAAAGTTTGTAAACTCAATCATCCAGGTGGATAACAACAAAAAAGTTTCAATCATGTCATCTGGACCAGTTTGTTTAAGTGAGAAACATTTCATCCCCCATCCAGAGGACTTCAACCAGATCTGTCCCATAGGTAGCCTTCACTGCTGTGTTTTAAGCCAACCTCCTGTTAGAAGTTCAAAAGTAGGCTTTTAACACGTGCAAATCACACACCCATCCAAAACAATCATCGTGTATAACAATCAGATGTTTTAGGCCAGATGGCCAACTTGTTACTCACAGAAACACCCTGAGGACAACCAAGGCCAGTGATAAAAAAAAAAAGGGTTGTAATCTTAATCATCCAGGTAGAAAACAACAAAAAAGGTTAAATCGTGTCATCTGGACCAGTTTATTTTAAGTGAGAAACGTTTCATCCCCCATCCAGAGGACTTATTCAGTCTATGGCCAACCAGATTCTTCAGTCTGTGTTTGTTGCAGTTCCTCAGACTGAAGAAGTCTTTTGGATGAAAGACAAAATGTTTCAACAACAAGAATGTGTCCAGAGGACCTGCCTTAACCTTAAGATGTGAATAGACATTTTGAAATGACATCGGGCATCATGGCACATTACTGCAATAAAGTTTGTGAGTTCAATTCTTGTCTACTATTTTCTTTACAACTGCCCCAACAATGTCAAGTCTGTAAACCTGGAGTACATGACTAGTGCTTTTCTTTCAGGGTGTGTCTTGAAAGAGATCGAACTGAATGTGAAAAATTTGCAAGTCAACACTTTCATTTGGAAATTTTTCATCACTGCCCGACAGGATTGAAAACAGAAATTAAAATTATGAGGGCGGTTAACAGAATTAGACTGAACAGTTTTATTTCACATTTATTTGGATCATCCTCAGAACATTCTTTTTCTAAGTGTAAACATCCACTATCCTATTTTATCACGAGGACTCAAACTGTGGAATAACAGCAGTGTTAGAGGCAGTTATCTGTGGCTGCCATTCAACTTGTTTATCTCCTCCTGTTAGTATTTCAGCGAGGGCTGATGCAAAAAATGTTGTACTCAGCATTTTCTTGAATAGACGGAACGAAAAGCATCAAATTAAAGACTTAAACTGAAGCACAAAAAGCTGCTGCTCGACGGTTTGGACAAACAGAGTGTGAAGTGAACATCAAATCCCACCGCACGTCCTTCAACAGACACTTCATAAAGGTCAAATTAGAACTGATAGTTGTTATTATCGCCTGTTGTGACCGGGGGCGGGGCTAGGATCCCGGCCTCGCACTGATTGGTCGTTGTGCCCTCCCCTGAGCCACACATGCTTCCGTTTGGTGCGTACGCGCATGCGCAGCGACCCCTCTCTTCTGATATTTTATTTACTCCGGAAACCCAAGATGGCTTCTGTGAATGTCTCAGCCCCAAAGCAAAGCGAGGATGAGAGTAGCTGCTGAAAAACTACTTTCCCCCGACCGTCGCATCCCCAGGAGTTCAATCCGTATGCTGCGAAGGAGGCTCTAACACCCGCCTAGGCCCCGAGCAGCCGTCGGAGCTTCGCGGAGCCCTCTCAATCCAACAATTTGGAGTAGTTTCGCGAAGTAGCTCTTCTCGGTGTCGCTGTCTGTCCGGAGCGAGGTTCAGGCAGGCGTCTCATACAAATGGCCGAACCGAGAAAAGTGCAGTTTGTCACCCTCTCGGCCTTCGCCGCTGGAGCAGTGGCGGAGTCTAGGAAACGCCGGCTGGAGGAAGAGGCCGACTTCAACTTCGACAGAGCCGGGGAGGTGGAGGCAGCCGGCGGAGCAGGAGACACCGCCGGCGACAACAAGGCTGCCGCGGAGAGGAGGGCGACCCTCCGGCTCAACCTGTCCCTGTCCGAGCCGGACGACCGCTCCTCCGCCGAGTTCAATTATGGCGAACTCATCCAGAACCTCCAGGTAGGGGCTCTTTACTTTGGCGAACATTTAGTCCAACTACAGCTGGAGTTGATTCGCAGCTCCTGGAGTGTTTTTATGGACGTGTCGCTGCAGAGTGGAGGGGGAAGTGCACCGGGGGGTTCAGGCTCGAGCTGACCGTTAGTTCGACCCGACACAAAAGGTTCGGACTCTCATCCCTCCGGTCCAACTTCAGCTGCGCGCGCACACGCTGTGCTGTTGGTGTTTTTCAGCGCGTGCAGCGGGTCTCGTGCCTCTACCTGTGCCCTTTCCTCTCAGACTTGCCCAGCAACAGCCTCACAGCCATTACAGCACTTTGATGCCACATGCTGCGGGGGGGGGGGGGGGGACCTGTCTCTGTCCAAACACATCTGGGATTTATCCAGCTGTTTGAGAGAGATGACGTGAACTAAGAAAGTTTGCAACTCACAAGTGAGAGATTGCTTATTAAGTTTTAAAGGCAAGCAGCACATCTGGCTCCATCATGGGACTTTTAGAACATCTCCAGTTCAAGTCTTTTAAAGTTTGCCTTGAGCCTGATAGTATTTGAGGGGATGCGTAACTCCAGGTTTTGTTTTTTATTCACTTTTTTGTGTGTTTATTTGTTTGTTTTAGGGAAAGAGTAAAGTTCCAGGTTTGACTCCAGCCCCCAGTCCCAACGACCCCTTCAACGATGAGGAGCGCGAGCGGCTCCAGGTCGAAGCCCTGGCGAAAAAGTTTGAAAATAAATATGTAAGTCATTGTGTATTTTTGTTTTTGTTGTAGCACAAAGCATCATTATGCTTGTTATTGCTAATATTATTATTATTATTGCTATTACCGTATTTTCCGCCTTATACGTCGCTCCGCCCTATAAGTCGCATCAGTCCATATTTGTCTAATAAAGTGGAAAAATCCATAAATACGTTGCTTTGCCTTATACGTCGCATCTATTATGTGTCACTGACAACCTGGAAATGTGGATCGGTGTTGTGCCAAAAATCGATGGGCTGCCAAATGGCGGCCGTGGGAGTGTGCACAGGAGAATTGAACAAGATTAACACTTAAAAACAATTATTTGTTTGCTGGACATTATAGTAAAGGTGTGTCTCAGTCCAACGTGTGCTTAATAAATGCACTTTAACGGTCAAATCGGCTGTATTTTGCCGAGGCGGTGCAGCTGTTTTGACGGTTCCAAGCAGAGAGCAGAATGGGGAGTGTATGGCAGGCCGATTGAGTCATTAATAGTTAGTGAAGATTCTCAGTCATCCAGGACATGGTAAATTCAAAAAAGTTAAAGAAAAAAAACAAAGAGTAAAGTATAATAAATAGTCCAGTTGTTTTTGTCTTGAACTTTTTTGAATTTGTCATTATAGCCATGTTTACCTATTACATGACACAACAGCATGCCATACTGCTACTACTACTCTGCTGCCATCAAGTGGCTGAAAATGGTACTGCTCAATTATTTTTTTCGGTCAGAATGAATGAAAACAGTCATATCTCAGCCAAAAAAATGGTTTATAAATATGGAAAAAAATCCATAAATACGTCGCTTCGGCCTATAAGTCGCAGGGCATGTACATTATGCAAAAAAGTGTGTAGTGTGGAAAATATGGTATTATTGTGCTTGCTCAAGATGAGTCTGCGATGAAGTTTTATTCAAAGCAGTCTGCTCCTCAGATAAATATTATTAACTTACTTTTTATGTTTATGAATGTTTCTGTAAAGTGCCCAGAGATAACTTCTGTTGTGACTTGGCGCTATATAAATAAACGGAATTGAAATTATAACTAGCAGGAGTTGGAGATTTTGAAACACAAATGTAAACTCGTCATTGTCTTAAAAAGAACAAAACTTTAAAATGATCAACTGTTCAGTTTATTTATTTAATGCTAATTCACAACAAAAGGCATCTCTAATCCAGACTTATTCAAACCATTGTTTAAAAAAAAAAACTTGTATTTTGTGTGTATCTGTTTTTTGTTTGTTTAACAATTGTTATTTTTGAAGAGCTAATTCTTCATTGTTTTTGTTTGTATTTTGTGTGAATTTTTGTTTATTTTGAGCCTCTTTTTTTAATAGATATTTGACCAAGATGAGGTTTAAGATTCAGAAGTACTAAACAAAGTTTGGTGTTTAGATAACATCCTGATGCATGCTCAATAATCCAGGTAGAAAAATCTAAAAAAGTTAAATCTGGTCCTCTGGACATTCAAAAAAACCCAAAACAAAGCAAAACAACAAGGTGTTTAGATAAGTTTTTATAGAATATAAATATTATAGTCAAAATACCTTCAGGGAGTTCCTTTACTCTTAAAAAAAAGGCCAAAAGTGTTTTGATGATCCTGAACCATCAGATAATAGATATTTTAACTTTTTAGCTTTAATTTGCAATAAATACTTTTGACATGTACCATGTATCTTTCACATTTTATAGTAATGCACTTTATTATCTCTTTTTCTGGTTTTATTTGACATTAATGTTCTGCTGGATGTTCCTCTGCAGTTTATTTTTGTGTCCAAAACATCAGTCAGCTGTTTTCAAATGTTCTTTATAAAGAAAGTTGATCTGAAATGTCTTGAAATGTAACGGAGTTAACGACTAAACTGTAGCCGCCTTTGCAGCTCTTTACTGAAAGGTTTTATTTGAGGTAAAGTTTTCCACAGAAAACTATTGAACTTGTTTTTCTTTTTCAAAACATATTCTAGAACAACACGGGGACAAAGAGGAGGAAGGACCGAATGCAAGACTTGATAGATATTGGGTTTGGTTATGATGAAACGGATCCGTTTATAGACAACTCAGAAGCTGTAAGTAACTTTTTAAATAATGAGCTTTTTCTTTCATAGTGTGAGTTTTTTAAGACTTGCAGGAATATTTGAATATTTTAAAGGCGAGGTCTTTGGAAAGGTTATGAACAGTCAGTATCTTACCTGTTGTAGACTGCTCTTTAAACGACCTCAGTTTGGAGAATTAACTTTAATATTTATTGCAATAACACCTAGTCCAAACACAGACGAGACCTGAGTGGTTTGCTGATCAGACAGCTCTGATCTCTCAAATGTTATAGAAATTCACTTGAAAGCTAATTTATAAAGTTTTTAATTGATGTAAAACTTCCAGTTTAGCAGAGGTCGATTCCAGTAGAACTTCCATGAAATTTCTTTAATCGCAGCCTAATTTTGACGACGGGAACTGTTTTAGAACAGGAGTGATACGTTTTGGAAGTGGAACTGTATTGATGAGCTAATAACGGCCTGTCAGAGTGGACCCACTTCCAAAGCTTCTACAACAAGTGAGATATTAATTGTTCATAATCTGTTCACAAAACCCCATAAAAAAATATCTTGATTGTCCTTTTAAAGTTTTTAAACCTGCACAATTTGTTCCTTCCTTATATTTCTGGACATGGTTCTCTTTGCGTCTACTGATGTTTTTGCAGTTGTGTTGCTGTTTAGATGTAAACATAATTACATCAGTTATTAAATATGTATTTCCCCTCATGATGTTTAAAATGGTTCATTTAGTGCTACTTCTAAAGGTAGAAAGATGTCCCATATTACAGGACAGACAGACTAAGATCTTCTCAGTGCGTCATGTGGATGTATTTGCTCCTTTCCCCCCTGACGGCTACTGTTGCCTGATATTCAGGTGATCTATCTTGGTGTCTGGCTGGAATAGTTTAAATTATGCTTTTCATATTAATTTTCAGCTTGTAGGATTTGCTTTGCTGTTCTCTACATCCTCCGTTTTGAAATGTGATGAGAAGGAATGTTTTCATCTGTGGGTTGAAGAGGCACTGAGGATTATTATTATTATTTTGTAGTGATTAGTAGAGCCTGATCGATATGGAAACTTTGACTATTGTCATTACTGATGTTGGGAGGGGAAGGTTCATCCAGATGATATATCAGCATAATGGCAGAAACTTTTTTTTTAGCTTTGCCCTCCCCGATAATCTCAGTAAACAGCTACACCTGTTTTAATTTTGGTATTGAAACAGTCTTCCTAACATGTGTTCACATTTTCTATCCTCCACTATTCACCATAAAGTTTTCAAGTGTGTAACAAAAATATAAATTAAACAAAGAAACATCCTTCACTGTTCATTGTTTCTACAGTCAGTATGGTGAAGGTCTAGTTAGTACTGACCACAGCAGAGTTTTTCTTTGCAAAGAAGTAAAGCTTTCAGACGGACAATATATTTAATTCAGGATGACAAAGATAGTTACTAACACTGATATATTTTACCTCTACGTTACATTTATTGTTCTAGATAAATTTTTACAATAGCCTATGCTAGGTTATCAAACGTAAGCATACTAACTTGTGAGGCACGTAGCTAATAAGACATTAGATATATTTATCTTTATTGATCCCGCAGGAAATTTGACAAGCAGGTTGGAGGATTGAAGAGAATTTATTGTTGTTTATTTATTTTATTTTACATATCGGTTAAAATAAACTTACTCTGTTCAGCAAAATACACAACACAGTATTGTTCTCTGCTTCAGCTGTGCTGAAAGTGAAACTTAAGTGAAGCCATGTCTTGAAAGTAGTCTTCATGCGCCCTCTGCCGGATACTTTATACAATTACACCTTTTGCCAGTAAATGATGCGGCTGGTTTCCAGCATTTTAGTGGTGAAAACTAGATGCCTTAAACCAGCACAGAATGGGCCAGTTATCACCGATAACGATGGGTCTCCAAACGCCTATATCGGGACTACCGATACTTATTGGTCGGGCTCTAGTGATTAGTTTGCATTGGTTCATAACAGTTCATTGATTTTTGCTGACCATCAGAAGAGCTATAAGAACGCTTTTCTAAAATGTAAACAAAACACATCACTTACTAAGGCCCTGTTTACACAACAACATTTTTGAGTGAAACTGTAGCATTTCTGCTGTGTTTTGGACATTAGTGTACACGAGAATAGGTATTTTTCTCTGACACCGAAGTTTTTTTAGTCCAGCTCTCCAAGTTTTTGGAAACGCCCACATCGATGTGCAGCTGCATACACAGTATACACAGGTTCTGCTCCTCCGTGTGTAGAATAACTGTAACAAGTTTGAATGCACGTGTCGTAGAAACTACAGCAGACTCAACGGGCACAGCGTTGCATCTTTTCTACAACCAACATTGAAATCAATCTGTATTTTCCAGAGATTGTTCACGTGTACACAGGACCTAAATGTTTTTAAATCTGCAAACAGTATTTCAGTGTAGCTGTGTGAGTGGTCTTATTGTCTTCTGCAGTCCTGTGAACTCACACCACAAACTGTCCTCCATTGTTATTCCTCCCAGTATGATGAGCTGGTGCCTGCATCTCTGACCACAAAGCTCGGGGGATTTTACATCAACACTGGAACGCTGCAGTTCAGAGCGACCTCTGACTCGGAGGGGGAGGAGGACGAGGTGAGACGACCGCAACACGTTCTTAACTAAAGAAAGACGTCAAAGCACAGGTTCAAACATCTGTCTGATTTATTATCGCCCAGTGCTCAAACCAGTGGCAGATCTGTACGCTACCAAAATATTTCATGAACCACTCAGTACATTTTTATGAAACTCAGAAAACAATTATTTGATATATTTCTACAAAAGGTGACTTGAGAGTCCACCCAATTCAAGATGGCTGCCACACTGAACTGATCATTAAACTAGCATAATGGCTATACTTTATTTCACTCAATTGTACAGATGTTGAGCTACAGTGTTGTTTGGGGAGCTGAGAGACTTTCCCAACACATACTCAAAGTGCTGCTCGTTGTATGAAAGCTTTGCTTAAAACTTTAGTATTAGCTGCTGGAGCCAATTCAATTGGCTCCAGCATTGGCTCCAGAATTGAATTGGTTCAATTCACATTTCAGCTTCTTACATCATAATTCAGCAAATGTGCTCTTTCTGCTTCCTTCTGCTAATTTAAGCTTTTTTCTATTGCTAATTTCAGCTGTTTTCAATTAATTCCATCAGTTTTGTGCCCATTTAAGCTTCTTTCTGCTTATATCAGCAAACGTGGCTCTTGGCTAACGTTTTCCTGTTTTTTGCTAGCATTTTGTCTGGTTTTTGTTAAGAGTTTGATTCTTCTGCCTTTAAATGAGCTGTTTCTATGTTTTTAGTTCTATCTCATCTTACTAGCATTTCTTTAGTTCTAGCTCTTTTATGCTTTTTTTTTTTTTGTAAAGTTTTGCTCTTTTTGGTTTTAAGTTAGCATTTGTTGCTTTTTTTTTGTTAATGTTGACGGTAGCTACTTTTGACTCTTAGCTAACTTTTTCCTGTTATTTGATAGCGTTTGATACTTCTGGTTCTCTCATTTTCCTTTTTGCAACTATTTGCTTCTTCTGATTCTAAGCTAGTTTTTTCTTGCTGTTTGCTAGTATTTTGCTACACCTGGCTCTCGGCTAGCATTTCCTGCTTTTTGTTAACATTTTGATTCTTCTGCCTCTAAAATGGCTTTTTAACATTTTTCAAAGTCTAACAATAAGATTACTCTGTCATGTTATTTTGCAAAAATTTAGTGATTTTTGAGTTGTAGCTATTTTTTTCTGCTATTTGCTAGCATTTGGCTAGTTTTTGATGGCATTTTGCTACTTCTAACTCTAAGCTAGCTTTTTCTGACAATTTATTAGCCTCTCACTACTAGCTAAAATTTCCCTACTTTATTGCTAATGTTTTTTTTTACTTCTAACTAATCTAGCATTTTTCTGCTTTTTGCTAGCGATTCTTTACTTCTGTTTCTAATCAAACTTTCTCTTGCTATTTGCTAGCATTTCTGCTAACCGTTAAACTTTTTTTGGCTACATTTTCAGTTGTTTAAACAAAAAGGGACTTTTCAGCAATTGAAAATACACAGCTTGGTTTTAGCTTCTTCAGCAGCTTTCAGCAAAATCATTCAGCAATAAGCATTCATGCAAAATGCAAAATTTTCTAGTTTATTTTTGGTACTATTTGGTATGATCAAATTATCCATGTCAACAATATTAGGGTTTCTAGAAGCTCAGTGGACCACTTTGGTTATTTTAACTATTTTAATTAATTAATCTTTTTGAGTTTTGTTTTTGGACTTTTGTGACCATTCATAGTTTCTGTAAATATAGTTTGTCTTTTTTAAATTCCTGCTTTAGAGAAGGAGCTTTCTTGGCTCAGTGGGGGGACTCTTGGTGACATAAGGGAACGTGTTTGATCCATACATGAACTTGCATTGATTGGCAAAGAAAATTAAACATTTTTCAGCCTTTTTGGTATCAAAATGACATTTACATGACTGATGTAGCTATTAAAATTGTCAGTTTTGTCTTATGACATGCTCTTCTTGAAAAGTATGCAGCTTAAGGGCTGATCTTATGTCTTGGCTCTCATAACCAATATCTGATCTAATCTCACAAATTTGCTTGTTGAAGGATTATTGCAGCTCTTTTTCTGAAGAATGTCACTAATCCTGATAAAACTGTATAACATCTGTGCAGTTATATTACAAGACATGCAAATCCATGCACAAATTCAGTGTTGAACAGAAGTTTCGAGCCACCTCTCATGTTTATTTATTTATTAGTTTATTTGAATAGTACTTCTCCAAGCTTTGTTGCTGGTCTTTAAAAGTATTTTTTTTTTTTTCCAGTGGACATCTGTTGTTTTTCACTTTTATTCGGTCCAGTCATATTTTGTCAACACTTGACACTAATTTATGAATCATTGAAACACAATGACACACAAAGAACAAAGTTTTTGTCATTTTTCAGTACGGTAATTACAAAAACTAATTTGTCTTGTTTTGTCATGTATCTATTGGGAAAATCAATACATGTGAAACAGAAAAAAATGTGCATGCCGAAATTTTGGTTCAGGGTGGGTAGCCTTTCATGTGTATCTCGGTTATTATAAAATTGTGCTTTATGACTTTCCTCTTAGAAGCTGAACAATGATATGGAGCAGGTGGTTAAGAAGAAGAAAAAGAAAGAGTTGAATGATTTTGAAGAGAAGGACTTGAAGAACAACGTACCTAAACAAGGGTAAGAATGTCAAAACAGTTTTTCACTCATGAACAAAAAAGGTGTGATGGATGAAGTCTGGACTTGTTTAATGTTTGCTCTTTCCATGCCAGCATTGCTTGTGTGAAATTTAGTTTTAACTTTTTTTTTAACTGAGGTGTCTGAAAAGAGCACGCAGTAGATATTTCATGATCTACATTGTTTGTTCAGGAAATCCCTTCTTCTGTTATCGCAAACTGAGATTGTTTAGTCTCCACGTTTAGCCTTAACAATGACTGATATGTGGTTGATTGTTATTCTCAGGACCCAGTCCGACCCACCAAATATCTCAGCTGATTTGCTGTACCGAGCCAAGAAACTTTAATCTAAAGGAGTCGGCCCAGCAGTGTCTCAAAAAAACATAAACTTAGTTTTTTTTTTCATTAAAATTTAGAAATTTAAGTGCCATTCAGGCCTTTTTGTTATTAAGGCATCAAAGTAATGGATTGATAAAATATATACCATATTTTCCAGCCTATAAGTTGCAACTTTTTGCCTAATTTGCATGCCCTGTGACTTATACACCGAAGCTACATATTTATGGATTTTTTCCCATATTTATAAACCAATTTTTGACTGAGATATGACGGTTTTCATTCATTCTGACGTTGAAAATATTGAACACTACCATTTTCGGCCGCTAGATGGCACTCGAGTAGTGTGGCTTGCTGTTGTGTCATGTAATAGTAAGCCAACTTCGTCCAGCTCCGGGATCATGCTTTCCTTTCGCTGCGCCATCCCGACAAATGCAGCTAATTTGACCATTGAAGTACATTTATTAAGTAAATGTTCAACTGAGACACACCTTTACTATAATTTTGAGCAAACAAAGAATTGTTCTTAGGTGGTTATCTTGTTAAATTTTGAAGAAATGCACAGCAAGTCGTCCCTCTGTGTGCGCCCGCTTCTGCGAATCGGCTTTTTAAATGCAGCTAATTTGACCATTGAAGTGCATTTATCAAGCAAAAGTTGGACTGAGACACACCTTTACTATAATTTTGAGCAAACAAAGAATTGTTTTTAAGTGTTAATCTTGTTAAATTCTTGTTAAAGTCCTCTTGCGCACGCTCCTGCCAAGACACCGGCCCACGTTTCCAGGTTGTCAGCGGTGACGTGTAACAAACGTGACGCGTCAGCGGTGATGCGTAATAGATGCAGCTTATACGGTGAAGCTACTTATTTATGGATTTTTCCAAATTATTAGACATTTTTGGACAGATGCGACTTATACTCCAGTGTGACTTATAGTCCAGAAAATACGGTATGCATCTTTTTAAGAGTCCCATAAATCTGACTGTCATCTGCATAACAATGAAATGAAAGACCATGCATTTTCAGTTTGGACCCAAGCAGAAAGATGTACTGTACATTGTAAAGAGAAGAGGACCTAAAACTCAGCTTTGTGGGATACCACTCAGCAAACAACAAAATAAATGGGTCATTAATTTATTTAGTTAAAAAATAGGTTAACCACAAAGAGAATTGCTAAAATGAGTTAACTTGCCATGTTTTAAAAAAAGATTTGATGGAGATGTCTGTCACATTTAATGTGTTGTGCTCTAAGCCTCTAGTTTCTGTGACGCTCGCTTCATTTGTGAAACACATCTATGCAGGACATGTCTGGCTTTGGCTTTATTAGAGATTTGAAAGTGATAAGAGACACCTTAAAAACTAACTGTCCTTCTAGCCATTTTGCAGCATTGTTTTGTGAAAATACCTTTAGTTAAAATATGTTGTAGATTATTGATCCTCCAGGACATGGCTAAAATCTCTAAAGACTGCTCCGAGGGGAGGGAAGGGAGAGTGATTTGCATGTTAGTTTAGGTTGAATAAAAACAAAAACTCACTGGAGTTTTAAAAATTTGGAAAACATTTGCCTGCCAACAAGGCTGATCCACTTCATTCCACACATTATTGTTCCTGTTTGTGCTGAAAACTCAGTCTGAGGAGAAGCTTGTTGCATGGATGCTGAAATGTTGGATATTGTTTCTTGTATTACGTCAACCAGACTAAATCATTCCAAATAGTCTGCTCAATTTTTGCTGCTTTACTAATATGCGTTACCTGAAGGCGCTTCAAGTCTACAGTGATACCAAAAACCTTTTGCAGTTTGTGACGTCTTGTGCAGCATCATCTGAAAATGTTCCACACGGAGAAAAGAGCTCTTTTTTTTTAGCATCAACAGTTACTTTGCCACTTAGCTTTCCACTCTGCCTCTTGTCATTTTCTTGCAATATTCATTCAACCTTTATTTATACAGGTTTGTCTTATTGAGCCTCGAGGACTCATTTCCAAGAGAGACTTGTAGTAACTGCCTTTTCAACTAAACAGCTAGCCTGTTTAGCCTAGCATGGTTGTGAGTTACTGTGTAATGGTGGATATGTAGTAGAGAGGTTGGGAAAATGGCTGCATGATTGAATGGTTTGTTAACCTCTGTTCTTATTAATGAATGGGCAAAGTTCAGTTTTCCTCTGTGACCAGTGAATGTGAACATTTTAGTATTCATGTTTGTGGTGAACATTTATTAGAACTATCACATTTATGCAAGAATCAGAACTGATTTAAATAAAGGATGCTTATAAATTGTGCGGCACTTGTTGCCGCATTAGAAAAAGACCATTTATTGCAAGTTTTATTGTCATTTCCAAGTCAGTGAATCCAACATGTAAAGGACTGCTCTGACTGCAATAAGTCATAGACCATTATATTTCAAGTGCCATGCACTCATGCTGTGCTGCTAATAATATATCTGTTGCAGTGCATCATGTAACACTAAAACATACAGGACGTGTCAAGCTAACGTGGCTGTAATTAAACAGAATAAATTATAAGCTTAGGCAGTTTCTTTCTTTTTGTCTTGAACTTTTTTAAGCGATGGATCACCAGACATTGTTTTTATCTCTCGTTGTTTTTATGAGAAGATATGGGGTTATAATATCTGGAAAATTTTCAACTGCAAAATGTAATCCTTTCTCTTGGACTTTAATTTCAGTTTATTTTTTGATGCACGTCATATGTTGCCTGTATGTTTTGTCCGTCATTGGCCTTGATTGCCACACCTGGTTTATGATGACAGAAGAAAAACGAAGACAAATTTCAGGCTTAATAGCAACTGATATTGTCATCACAGTGTTAAACAATAATATGCAGCTTTGTTGTGCTGTAACTAGGGGTGCACCGATAAATCGGTCAGTCGATTCATCAGCCCCGATTTCCTTAATTTTGGGAAATCGGCCGATACTCGAATGAGTTTTAACAACAATTGTCTGAACTTCATTTATATTTCAGAGCACTACCACATGGCCAGTTAAAACCAGTTTGTATTGTTTCTAAGATATTGTTCCAGGGCATGTTTTTCAATAAAATAATATTGGAAAATTGAAGGTGCATTGTGAACTTAAAACACCCGACAGTGCTGCTTATAAAACAAAATCATTATCGGCCAAAATTGGAATTGGCAGGTCAGACTTTTTAGAAATCGGTGATCGGCCAGAAAACTGCAATCGGTGCACCTCTAGCTGTAACATCAGTGTAACCCTCATCTCTGCTGTCAAACGTCCCTGCATACTTGAACATCTTATACGGATCAGCTGTGGACATTTAGTTTATCTGACAAACCACATACAGAACTGGAATGCAGCTCGTGAAACTGGCACATATTGTAAAAATATTACAGACACTGATTTTGAAGCCACGTTAATGTTTCGTAGATTGCTTTATAATAATTTGTCAGTTTTAAATTGCTGTGCGACGATTCAGTAGTTTGTGTTTGTTAAAACGAACCAAACAACATATTATTAGTAGGGGACGGGGAGCACCGATAAATCGGCCCCGATTTCCTTAATTTTGGGAAATCAGAAACCGGCCGATACTTGCATGATAAACTGATTTTACTCATTTAAATTTTTTTTAGTTTCAACAACAATTGTCTAAACTTCATTTATATTTCAGAGCACTACCTCATGGCCAGTTAAAACCAGTTTGTATTGTTTCTAAGATATTGTTCCAGGGTATGTTTTTCAATAAAATAAGATTGAAAAATTGACGGTGCATTGTGACCTTATAACACCTGACAGTGTCGCTTATAAAACTAAATCGTATTGGCAGGTCGGACTTTTTAGAAATCGATAATCGGCCAGAAAACTGCAATCGGTTCACCCCTAATTATTAGATACACAGTTATATTTAATTTCATGGATTTAAATTTGTTATAAAAAATCTTATATTTTAGACAACAAAGGCCTCTGCTGGTAAGTGACAAATTTCTTGTCCAGTCTTTTACTCAATAACGACCCACCGCCCTCTTTGACGGTCTTTGTCACGTTGCTTCTCTCAGATCTACGGTGAGGCAGGGAAGCTGACGGAGACTGCACTTACTGCTGTGACGAACCGTTCAGAAAATGCTCCACTATCCGTGCTCAGATATGCTGAATGCTCCCTCAGCTCTCTGAAAACAATTTCTATAAATAGCTGTGGCTATTGTGATCCTGCCCGTATGAAATGGAAGATATATTGTATATCATATGTGTGTGTGTGTGTGTGTTGGGGGGGGGGGGGGGGGGGGAATTTTAGGCTGAAGAACAAGCCCAAATCATCAGCCCGCCACCACTATGCTTAACCATTTGCTTTTGCCGAAAGACCTTGTTCAAGAGATGTTTGTTTTTTTAATTTTATGAATATTTTTATTTATTTAATGAAATTGTACAAATCTAAACTCTACTGTTGTTCATTGTTAGAAGAGTTTCTCCTGTCAACTCTTAAAAAAGGTCATATATGTGCAGCAGTTTTCTAATTACTGTTAACTTTAATTTTCTACATTACCTAATGTTTTTACATAGATACCCTTTAAATCTGATGAAACTCTTGCATTTTAATTAATTTTCTTGTCAGTTAACAGAATAAATCTGATGTGAACCTGCAGGATGTCCATTCCTGCTGAATGTTTGACACTTAAAATATTTTTTCTTACTTAATGGCCTTCATACTAGTTTGGATTTAATTTTATAGCTCTTCACAAAATGTTGGGCAGCAACAGTTAATTTTTGCAAGTATAATGAAAAAAGTATTAAAAACAGAAAAACAACTTAGTCAATGTCAAAATAAATAATTCAAATCCCAAAGTAGTCATGAACATTATTCCAGTCTTCATTTGAAACATGTCTTTATTGCTTCTAAAACATGTTTTCTTCCAACAGAGTGACGGCGCTCAACCTTCACCGGCCAGAGAAGAAAAAGAAGAAACTGATGAAGGACTCTTTCTACCTGGCTGCAATGCTCCATCGCTTCACCCAGGAGAAAGAAGAGCTGAGGAAAGGAAACCCCACCGTGGATCACCTCGGCGTGTCTGGAGGTGCAGCTAACAAGTCCCACTCTGGCAACTCCACAAACCTCCCATTGGTTTCCAACTCCAGCCAGCTGCAGAGCAGCACAGCTGGCAGCGACCTCTCCCTGGCGGACCTCACCTCGGACCCCGCTGTCATGTCACTGCTGGGCTCGGCCACCGAGAAGGAGCTGCAGGATCTGTTGGGTGACCTGGACTTCAGCTTGTTGGAGACCGATCAACAGAATGCCGTGGTGACAGCCAGAGAGAACGGCATTCTGGGTATTGGTGCTCCCGCTCATAAAGCAGCAGTTGGAGGAGGGGGTCAGGGGCGAGGCCTGGGGTCTTCCTGTGGACTGTTCTCTCCACCACCACTACCTGATGGACTCCCTGCCCCTCTTATTAAACGCATCGAGCACCTGCGGGCGGTGAGTAGACCGTGGTCTCTTAGTGGGCGGCTGCAATTACCCATGATACCTTTTGAGTGAAGTCGAACACAAATGCCACTCGGCTAACAAATTGTCTCTGAATGTTTATTGCTGCCGTTTACACCGGTGTGAATAATCTCATGTGAATGTCCAGAAAAATAGGGTTTAAAACTGAACCCTGTGGGGTTTTATATAACTAAACAATTCTGGTGAAGGAGTTTTGTCATTGCTCTTGAATCTCCTCAAACTCAGATCTTTTTATAGATGTTGGTGAAGTCTAAAGGGTTAGGTAAGCAACTGAGAGAGTTTATGCAACTGAAAGATACAGAGGTGAAGAGTAGAGAAATGAAGAGGAGGGAGAAAAAAACAGGAAAAATAGACCATGTTTTATTCCTGTTATACAATATGGGGGAGCACATTTAACAATAGTCAGGACCAGTTACTGGAAAGGCCTAGCTCCATATTCTACCTACTGCCTTTTCCTTTTGGACGAAGATCATTTTATGTGGACAAGTAGTGGCATTGTAAGTAAGTTCTATATGTTGTCATCGTGTCATCAAGGGCTGAGTGGTTAGAGCAGTCGTCCTCCAATACAAGAGTTGGGGGTTCAATTCCAACAGCAGTCACATGCCAAAGTGTCCCTGGGCAATACACTGAACCCCTCATTGCCTCTGATGTGTGTCCCATCAGTGTATGAATGTGATAAAGCTCTGATTATTCTTTGTATAGATCTAGTAGAGTGCTGTATGAATGGGTAAATGAGGACACAGATTGTGTTGTTTGAGCTTTGAGTATCTATATAAGATAAAAAAGCGCTATATAAGTCCAGTCGATTACTAGGGGTGTAACGGTACGCTAAAATCACATTTCAGTTCAGTTTCAAGTAGCTCGGTTCGGTTAATTTTTGCTGCAAAAAAGCCCAAAATAAAGACTTACAAAATGCTTGTTTTGAAAATATGCCAAGTAAACAAGTTTAGTTATTACAGACTTCTTAGCTGGAGGTGATCTGGTGGATGAAGAAGACTCGGCTGCTGTCATCCTCAGACTGCAAACAACACCGTAATAAAAAAATTGAGTTAATAAGATTATAATTTTAAATTTAAAAGTTAATTAGATCACAATAATACAATAACAATACCTCTTCTTGCACGGTTATCATATGAGGTGGTTGAATATTCTCTCTCGCTCATCATCGATGTGACTGGGCTTTAATTTGGGCTCCAGGGCTTGTTGGCAATATCACTTTTACCTTTTTCATAAAGTGCTGCTACAACGTTTTGGTTGAATTGTTGACGTGCTGGATGTCGTAGGCAGCGGGGCTCAAGAACTTTAATCATATGTGTAAAGCCGGCGCATCAACAACATTCGGACGTATATCCAGAACTTTAAAAACTCCTACAGCTAGTGTTATTGCTCTGGACCGATCTGAATTACCTGATCAAGGTTGTTTAAATGCTGCTGATATCGGTCTTTGCACCAAACTACGTTCACATTCGGATGATGTCGTTTTAAGCACATTAACAGGTTAGACGTGTTGCCTGCAGATCTCTGTGAAACAACGTCGACACACAGCTTTGGATTTGTTCACTTGTCTTTTAACAAGGAAGCCATAATGTTCCCAAACAGGAGACCGCAACGAGATGGCTTGTTCGTTGCCTGCTAGGCTGCTAATGCTACGCGTGCTGCAAGATAATAGCGCCATGCTGAAACATGTGTAGGAACTTTAGTTCCACGGCGCATAATCTTTTGTTAATAAAATTTAATGAGTGAAAAAATAACCGAAACGATACACACGTAGACCGAATCGAACATGCTGTACTGAAACGGTTCAATACACCCACGTGTACCGTTACACCACTATCCATTTACCATTTTATGTTTCTATACAATGACAAAATTGGTTTTCTCCATTTAACCCATCACACCTTAGATACACCCAGGTCGAGCAGTGGGCAGCTATGTAAGCGCCCGGGGAACAATTGGTGTCTTGTTCAGAGACACCACGACATGTGGGAATGGCGGGGAGTCGAACTGCAACTTTATGCTCCCAGGTTGGCTGCCCTAGCTCTATCCCATCTTGGCCCCTATTGTAGCCATTTTGGTGGTCTGTTAGCCTTTGGATTGTGTTCTGAATGACAGTCAGCTACTACCACAACAATTTTTCTTTAAATCATGGTCTTTTTTTTTTTTTACACAAATGCAACAAAGAGAAAACAGCAAAAATCCCCAACCGCCCCTCCCCACCCACATTGGATCTGCCACACGTACATACATGTCTTTATACAGACAATGACATGTTTTCAACATATGACACAAAAGGCTGACAAGTGTCCCAAAGTCTTTTAACAGAACCTCAGGGTATATCTGATTTTTTTTTTTTTTTCTAGATGAATATGATACATCACTTCTCTTATTCAATGTACATATGCTGAAGGGGGGGGGGGGGTCCTTCCAATCGCACATAACCAGTCCTCTGGCTAGAAGAGAGCTAAAAGCAATCACATCCGTCTCATACTTGCTGAAGGATGTATCCACAAGGACCACAGTGAACAGTGAGATGAGTGGTGTTTTTCCATATATCCCAGAGAAGGTGTCAAAAATAGATTGTCAAAAGGTTTGCAGTTCGGGACAGGTCCAGAATGTGTGCAGGAGAGTAACTGGAGTTTGTTTACAACAATTACATGCATGGTCCAGGTTGGCTTTGATCTTGGACAACTTGTCTTTGGGCCATTGCAGCCGGTGCACCTACCACAACAAATTTTAGCTCCATATTTGTTATGAGCCATTTTCAAGTGGGCTACGGTCAATTAGCTGTGGCGGCATCTTGTAAGGGGTTGACTTCAACAGCTAATCTTTTATAGTCAAGTCAAGTCACATTTATTTATATAGCACATTTAAAACAGTAACTGTTATCAAAGTGCTTACCAAAAAAGATGACAAGATATTACAGCAACATGAATAAAAGCATAAAAACATGAAATATAATGAGAAACAATGAAATACTAAATCAAATCATCCTGCGTTAAATGTCAGGGAGTAAAAGCAAAATGGTTGAACACAATCATCAACAATGAAATACCAAATGAGATCACACTGTTTAATGCCAGTGAGTACAGATGTGTTTCAGATGTGTATACCTCAACCAATCTCTTATCTGATCACTATCTGAAGGTTAGTTAATCCAAATCCATTCAGGGAGATACAAACAAACACATAAACACAGCCAGAAACAGTATTGCTCTACCTTTGCTTTATTTGACATGACAACAATCGGTAGCTGGGATATTTATACAAAATGTTGTTTCTGGTTTAATGTCAGATTGCAGGGAGTGCAGTAACGTCTCCACCGTCATTAAATCCTGTCACGGGTTCATTTTGGGCGCTCAAGTTTGTTTACGTTCATCCCAGAAGTAAACCGGAAGTAGAACTTCGTCTTCTGTGGGGCTTTTTAAGGAGAGTTTACCACTCTGCACGTCAGTACTTCTGTTCAGAACAAAGCCTGCTGCATGTAAACGCTCGTCATGAATGGATTGTGCCCATGTAAACGATACATTAGAATTATTTAATATGAAAACATTTCAATCCGGTCAAATAATTTTGCGCATGTAAACATAGCTATAGCCTTGCGTTGCCTTCCATTTACTGAAGTTAGATACTTGTCCCAAAATCTCTGGTAGTTTCTAGGGCTGAACAATTTTGTTAAAAGTTCTAATTGCGATTTGTTTTACCTCAATATTGTGATTTAATATGCAATTATTTTTTGATGTCTTATGTATTTCTCAATGAACACAAGCAATAAATCTGTTTCAGTTGCAAAAACACCTACTGTTTTCAGCTGCACTGCAATTCTGTTCCTGCAGTTTTTTTGTATAGCTCCAGGATAGCAGCTTGGCTAAAATGTGTGAGCGAGGGCATTCATATTATAGACAAGATGTGAAAGATCTTTTTTTGTAATACCACTATCTACCCTCATGTTTCTACCCCTTTCCTATCTAAGATTAGGGGTTGAACGAGTATATAATTTTTAAACTCGACATTAACATAATAAAACCCAAGTAGAACTCGAATATTTGATGACGTCATAGATCTCAAGATACAAAAATAAATTAATAAATAAAACCGCAAAAAACGGTAATTATTTACAAAAAAAAAAAGACCAACAAAACATTGGGAGCGTATATTATGCTCCTACCATTTATCATACTGCAAATAAGTCACAGGAAAAACTAAACTATTAATTATTATTATTAAACTGCAAACGTGAAGAAATGCAGCACGTCAGAAACAAAACTTAAACCGAAACTGGTTCTGGTTCGGTGAATTGGACCTGGTGATGCACCATACTCTGTGACCTGCAACAGTGCAACACCGCCCCCTACGGTCATACGTGGTCACATAATATGACGTCACTACGGATACCCGACTTTACATTTTTAACATCGATAGATGTCCTAGCAATCGATGTGTAAACTACTCGAGTACTCTGTTAATGCCCTATCTAAGATTATTATCTGATAAGGATAAAATGGCCGCGCTTTCTACAGTTGCAACTTTGTGCACTCCGCCCATCTTTCAGACAACTGTACGTACATATTCGCGTTGTACCTCGGTGCAATTCCAATAAAGTTTATTCTGATTCTGTACCGTTTATCCACTGTGTTTACCAAAGCTGTAAACCCAGGCCTGGTCACTGTATTAACGGGCGTCATGTCATGTCTTTCGCTGTAGACTCCGTTATTGCTCGAGTTATTTCCGCATGACGTTTCGAATTATGTTCATACGGAGTTAAACCTTCGAACAGTTTGGTCAGTGATCTCTGTCGACTGGTACTTTGCCTACTTCAAGTTGAAGCACTGGTCGTTGGTATTCTAGTCATGCAACTATCGTAAATGGCTTTGTGGTGTGTTTTTAAGTGTTGATAAAGATTTGTAGTGTTACCTCAAGAGGTAACAACAGCAACAAGGCAGGTTCTGCACAATACATGTCATTGCTCAGCATCTTCTTTTTTATAGACAAAATAATTCAAACAATGGACGTGCTGCTCCTTTTTGGTACCAAACTTTCAGATGTTTCAGCTTCTGTCGAGCCTGATGCCATTGTGAAACCAGTTAAAACGCAGTGTTGACTTCTCCCGCTCCCTGCTCTGCTTCGCTTCGCTCACTCACAAGTGACTTAACCAGATCATGTGACCAGTCAAATCGCAGCCTTTGTGATTAGAAAATCTCCTTTTATCATATTGCAATATTTTTGCAAATGCAATTAATTGTTCAGCCCTAGTAGTTTCATAATTATTACCTGAGAATAACTTCTATGCAAGCCAATTCTGTGTACTCATACTATGCACAGTGCACATGACTGTGATCTTTTGCCATTAAGCATGGAGGAAGAAACATTCTCAATGTTATCAAAAACAGGCTCTGTAGTAAAAAAAAGTCTACATAAATTATGTTTGGTATCTCAAAATTATCTGAATGTTGGAACCGTTGTTTTGTCCATTTGGTTTGCAGCCTCTTGTTCAGTATCTAGAACGCTGTATTTTTCCAGCTTGTTTTAAATAATTAATTGGTTTCACTGATTTATTTTCCCCCACTAACAATATTCATGACTTTTGTGTTTCTTATAAAACAAACTTTCTCCATCCTACTGTGGGAATTGAAAACAATTTTATTTTCCCCCTGAATTTAGATCGCATGTAGATACTCAATGATCTAGATTCACATGCACAGCAATATTCTATAATTACCTCTGTTAAAATTAAAGACAGTCATGTAAATGGCATGTTCTGACCCCCCTAACTTATATAAGTTAAGATCAGATAAACCTTTAATCAAATTATGTGATGTGTCCCGGTTGCATTATGAAGACGTCTTTACATTAGGCCTTGAACTTGGTTTCATGGACGTGTCCTCTACGGAGTGGAGGATTGTGGGTGTTTATTGAGCTCAGACAACCTTGCACATAGTTACCCAAAAACCTAACAACATATAGCCAAATTAGATGAAGCAGTGTGATCGGGTTAAATTCAGTATGAGCTGAGATGAACCAGTAACAACCAGTTTTATCATAAATGTGTGACAATGTGTGAACAATAATAAATTACAGAGAAGCATGAATGGAAAACACAAATATCAGTGGACCGTCCTGAAAGCTTTAACTCTGACTTCATTATGAAGCAGACCTTTGTCTGTTCAGATGTTTGGTGCGTGCACATCAGAGTAAAGCTTCAGGACAGTTGGCACCAACACACCCAGGAGCAGCACACACACATATTCCTAAGGAGAGGTCTTAAAGAGACAAGCCGTTCCAGGCAGGAGGTAAAGATGCTTCAGCTGCGGACACCAGGGTGTAGATTTTAACCACACCTCTGTAAAGCATCAGTTTCCTCCATGCATTTTTAATGGTTTATGATTAAACTCAGCATCTTGGGAGGCATTTGTCACATTTTTAAGTGTTCACTATCACCGATGTGTGCTTGTGTAAAAAGTGCTGTATGCTGACTCGACCTTTTCTTCCTCAGGCTTCGCGGCAGTTTGATCAGGAGGGCAGGAAGAAATTTTTCACCCTTGACATGAATAACATTCTCCTGGAGTGAGTAGGACGGCTTTTAAATCACAGTCAGGCAAATTACAACTCGCTCTCCTCCTTTTATCAGCTTTTCTCACTCGTTTTCAGCCGTTTTCCCCGGCCACCTCTCCTGCTGTCTAAGTGTTTTGTTTTCTCTCTGTCTCCTATTGTCAGTGGTAATGACATATTACGCATTTCTATTCACCCAGCTCTCATTCCTCTGCCACTTCCCACTGTTCTCGCCTATCCACCACTTCAATCTCCCATCTCGGTCTTTTATTCTGCCTTCTTTCTGTTGTTGTTGTTTTCTAACCGCCTTGACTTTCTGTCAGTATTGAGCTGCAGGTCCAGGAGCAGCCTCCTGAGGTGCGCTCAGGCATCTATTCGCACATGGAGGCATTTGTACCGTGCAACAAAGAGGCCCTCCTCAAGCGCCTCAAAAAGCTCAGCCTCAACATCCAGGTGAGCAAAGCTTGTGTATGGAGGAAGTGCTAAATCCCCTGACATTTACTGAGTATGATGAGAAAACCATCTTTCATGCTGCAGCCTCTCTGATTGCTTCATGCTATCTAAAAGCCGAAGCGAAGAAAGTCTGTTGCACTTACAGAAATATTTTGAACTTTTATTTGCTACAAACGATACAAAAATAATGTTCAGGGTGCAGACTAGACATGGGCCTGTATGAGAGTCTGATGGTAGGATAACTGAGCAAAATACAGTGGTGTCAGGGCATTAAAACGAGAATTTAAAAAACTTTTTTGCTTTTATTTAAAAGCAAAATTCCTATTTTAATTTTTGCTGCTTAAATATTAGCAAATTTTCCCAATAAAGATCATATTATAGGTATAATAGTATAATAATACACAATATATTTAGTAACGTTATTGCACAAATATAAATAAGGAGCAATATGGAACACAGAGAGGCTCAAAATTAAATAAATAAATAAAGCATTATGAAATAAGAAAAATTGGCTTATTTATTTCATAATGGGATTTTTCAGTAGAACAACTTCAGCTGTCAATCATCGACCTTCATGCCCACTGGCTGAGCCTTCACATCCATTAGTTTTCCTGAATACCTGCTTAATCACAGACATAATTTAGAGCTAATAATTTAGATATAATTTATAATTTAGAGCAAACAAATAATTGTTTTTACGTGTTAATCTTCTTAAATTCAGAAAACTAAAACAGCAAGTCCAAAAGACTTCTTCTGTCTGAGGAGCTGCAATAAACTCAGTCTTATAAACAGCACCCTCTTCTAGTAGATCAACCAGTTTGTTGTTGACATTCAAAACTAGCTGTTCGCATGATCAAGGTGGACCATCAGCCTAACAGTGGATCATTAACGCCCTGATGGCCGCCTCACAGGGGGCTGAGTGACGCTGGTGAAGATTCTCAGTCATCCAGGACATGGTAAATTCAAAAAAAGTTCAATACAAAAAAGACTGGACTTTATTTGTAACGGAAGACGTTTCGCTCCTCGTCTGAGAAGCTTTCTCAATTCAAAGAGCAGTGAGTGTGGGGTTCAGGTTATAAAGCTGGGATAAGATACACACATACATATCCAGATTGACCTTTCACACCTCACAGTAGGGGTTTCTTAAGGTCTTTGTTCCTCTAATTCACAGACGAGCCCCCTCTGTTCCCATCAGGTGAAAACTGCCTGAGAATCCGTCTTAAAGTTGCATTATACGTTTTTGAAAGTGGAAATCTGAGGCCTCCTCCTCTGTTAAGAGACGGCTTTTCTCTTTTTACATAAATTGCTTCCTTCACCCCCCTCTCAAACATCTGTGTTCTCGGTCCAAAATGTGCACATTTTGGTCCTCAAAAGAGTGTCCCTTATCTGTGAGGTGGAGGTGAACAGCTGAGTCTTGTCCTGTGGAGCTGGCTCTCCTGTGTTGAGTCAGAGAGAGTCAGATTCAGAGTTTCTTTATTGTCATTCGCACCTCATGTGGTACATGTGGTGGAGCGAAATTATGTACACAGGGTCCCAGTTACATCCAACAATAAAATGTACAAGAAAAACAGTAATAACATCTAAGATACGAACCAAGAAAAACATCAACTAAATATACACCAAGCACCCACAACACAAAACATTGAACATCAGCACAAACATGAACATGAGTCCGCGAGCAGATGTGCACGCATGAACACATCAACATGAAACAGATCAGCAGCGACATGATGTGATTATTTTCACAGTGATTATTCTAGTTAGAGATTCATGAGTCTAACAGCCTCAGGGTAGAAGCTGTTCCTCAGTCTAGCGGTTCCACACTCAATGCTCCCCAACCTCCCTCCCGAGGGGAGCGGGGCAAAAAGTGTGTGCGCTGGGTGAGTGGGGTCCCCCATGATGCAGGTGGCCCTCCCCCTGCATCTGGAGGTGTAGATGTCTGTGATGGTGGGGAGACTGATTCCAACAGATTTCTGTGCAGCCTTCACCACTCTCTGCAAAGCCCTTCTTTCTGCAGCTGTGCAGCCTCCATGCCACACATTGATGCTCGAGCACAGGATGCTCTCCACTGCACACCCGCAGAAGGAGGTGAGGACTGAGCCCCCCAGACCAGCTCGCCCCAGCCGTCCGAGGAAGCAGAGTCTCTGATAAGCTTTCTTGATCAGGCTGGAGGTGTTGGTGCTCCAGCTGAGGTTGTCATTCATGTGTACACCCAAGCACTTGTAGCTGGAGACCACCTCCACCGCAGATCCTCCCATGTTCAGGGGGGTGCAGATGTTTTTGTTCCCTCTGAGCCATGCGTCTGTGAAGAGGCTGTAGTTTCTCCAGTGTAGAGGTCTGGACAGTCCTCGCTGCACTGGACCGCCTACACTACACCAGGCTGGGTCAGGGGCCGAGTCATGCAACGACAGCAGATGTCGAGGCTCAGCCAGTGGGCGTGAAGGTCCAACCCACTGACGTTGATTGACGGCTGAAGTCATTCTGCTGAAAAGAGTCATTATGAAATAAATAAGCCGTTATGAAAAACACAATTATGAAATAAAATAATAAAAATGTAAATGTTTCTTATTTCATAATGTTTTATTTATTTATTTAGTTTTGAGCATTTTGGTGTTCTATAGAGCCTCTTTATTAAAGTGTCGGCCTTTTCCTGCATTCAAAACACAATTTGAAGCATTTAATAATCAATTTTTTTTATTTCTAACATTTTTCTTTATGATCATATTTATGATCAAAGCTGACATTTTCATTTGATTACAAGTATTAATAATAAATTTAAACTGTAACATGAGCGATATGTTTGTAGTCTCCTTAGCGGGCCTGCAGTTGGCTGTAGAAACGTCACCTGCTAACATGCTAACTCTTGTAGCATGTTGTGTCAAATCAGCGTTATCTTGAAAATAGACGGGTGTTGCTCCTCTGGTAGACAGGCCACGACTGATGGCGTTATTAGTCTGATAAAATGTACCACCAACAGAAATCTGTTTTTAAAGAGCAACTGAAGGCTTAGAGCTACAAGAAGAGGAGGGGGTCCTGCATACGTCATCCAAAGCAGTGACGTCAGTTCTCATTGTCATAGTTGCATGATGAAAATCATGTCATTTTGTTCTCAGAGCAGCTTGGCCCACTCTTCTCAGCACAAGGTCCAGGCCAAATTTTTCTCACAGGAATATGCGTCAAGTGTTGCATGATTGGTCAGAAGTTTGTGGGCGTGTATGTCAGTGAGGAAATGCACTCAGACTTTCAGCTGCATGACTCAACAAACACTAAATTAGCCAAATGGTCAAACTCCTGGATGGAGATCGTGCAGACGTCATGCATGGAGTCCGTCTGCTGGAAAGTGTGGCACTCTCTTCAGGATACAACAAAGACCATGCTCAATAATCCAGGTATACAATCCAACATTTTTCAGTGGGGTCATCTTTTCAGGATAGATTTGTGGCCAAACGGCGGCTGCAGGGATGGAGTGGAGACTCTGGCGGGAAGAAACCCGCTTGGTGACGTATATTGCAGGGGAGGGGGGTTCCCAGGAGCTCTGCTTCTTTGTCTCGAGGACTATGAAAGGTGTGTGGAGACGAACGTCCCACAACCACGTGACCACAAGTCAACTGGTTTTGGATGGAGTATGTCAGGCCCTTAAGTGGTCTATGACCAGAGGACTGGAGACGAAACACAACAGACAAGAAATGCTTTGCCTCAGGTATAAAAGGCATTTAAAACAATGGGCCACCATGATGGAAAAGTTAAGTGGTAAAGACATTTTGACTTGTTAACACTGGAACAGCTGAAGTGCAGCGTTTGATCTCAATCTTTACAAGCAGGATTCTTAAACAGCCTTAAAAAGTTTGGAAGCATTTAAAAATAGCTTTTTGTGTGTCTGGGTAAGTTTGTAACAAATAAATTGGAGTATGGAAAAAAACATTTCTATACTCTTTTAGATAACTCTTATACAAGTGATGCACTGGTCATTAAAACAGTCTTCTTAACATGCGTTCACATTTTCTGTCCTCCACTATTCACCATAAAGTTATCACGTTACAGAATATACTCTTTATACTATTTTTTTTATTTCGATACTCTCTTCATGAGTCCATCTTCTCAAAGGTGAATATTTCAACTTGTAAAAGTCAACACACACATTAATAAAAGACAAACATGCTCTAAATAGCATCACTTTTTAACACGTTTTTTATATTGTATATATTTTACATTTAGCCTCGAGTTCATTTTATTCATTTTTTTAAATCATTAAAATCCTCATGTGTGCTCAAACATATATTTTTTTTCTTTTAAAGGAGTTTAATTCCTGCTAGGCTTCTTTGATGCGCAGTCACTGCTTTTTGTGCTATGCCATCCATCCATCATCTTTTACCCGCTTCTTCCATTTTGGGTCACGGGGGTCGCCGGTGCCCATGTCCAGCAATCACTGTGCGAGGGGCGGGGTACACCCTGGATGGGTCTCCAGTCCATCACCAACATGGAGACAAACGAGACAAGCAACCGTTCAGTCTCTCACTCACACCTAGGGACCATTTAGAGTTACCAATCAGCCTAACATGCATGTTTTTGGTCTGTGGGAGGAAACCGGAGTACCTGGAGAAAACCCACGCATGCACGGAGAGAACATACAAACTCCTGTGCTATATCAAACAAATTTAAAATAAATGTGCTTATGTATACATCATGAAGAGAACGTCTCACTGGGCTGTGGTTGTTGGAAACAAGATGGTGACTCAGTTGCAAGAAAATAGTCATTCTTCCAATTCTTAGTCTGTGATTAAGCACCCAGTAAGTGGAGCAGCCATGTTTTGTGCAGCCATTTTAAAAAAAAAATCACAACCTTTTTTCATTTGCAGGACTTTCAAAACTGTATTATATTCTGTGCACATTATTTTGTTGCACACCTCATCATCATCGTACCCTTCTCAGCTTACTTTGTACCAGCCTTGGCAACAGCCCCACAATTTACTGGAGAACTGGAAATTTGTACCATTTAAAAAAACAACAACAATGTTTATCATTGGTGTAGTTTTTAAACCTGGTGGTTCAGGACTGTTGTATCTGTCATAAGAAGGTGCTCCCCTGTGCAGTTACAGAAACTAAGCTGAGAAGGGTTGAGATGCCAAAATCTTTGCAACCATTGTGAGAGAGACCATCTTATCACAAGCAGAACTGGTTTGTTCCACTTTTGAGTAAGCTGTTGGAGGAAGAATCAGTTTTGTTGTGCGTTTCCTTGACTGGTGAAGCCTTCTGGGTGGAAGTTGAAACGTTTCAGCACAAAAAAAGAAACTGTCCAGATGACCTGACTGAAAAATGTTGCATTGTGAGAGAGAATTTGCTGCACGTTCTGTTTGTTAATGATGAAAAACATCCTCTGACAGAAAACATCAAGGCAAATATCCAGGTTTAAAAACCACGTTGATGATAATAATTACTTTGAACCTGCCAACCTCCATTTAAAAAGTGTATTTAAACGGAATAAATTAAATCTTTGGGAAAGCTGGGGAGAATACAACATGGGAGGAGAGAACAATATAATGTCCAGGAATATCATTTTGCATGCTGTGCACAGAAAGCTGTGATTTTGAAACCCTGTCTGCTCATTTGGCTCACTGGTCTGTTGGTGGCAGTCAGATTTATGTGAGACTGAAACAGAAAACTTTCTTATTCATTTGTAAAATGTCCCAGCAGTCCTAGCCCAGTGAGAGCCGGTTTTACTAGAGCCCGACTAATATGGAAACTTTGATTATCACCGATACAGATACTGGATACATTATAATGGCTGAAGAATCTGTGAGCATTGTTCACCACCAAGAATCCAAGTAAACAGCGAGTGGAGCGGGGCTTGTTTATTTAGCACAGCTGTTAGCAACCATGAAGCTAAGCTAATCACATCCACACTTTAATTTGTCCCACTCTAGGTTTACAAGTGATGCACTGGTCATTAAAACAGTCTTCTTAACACATGCTCACATTTTCTGTCCTCCACTGTTCACCATAAAGTTATTGCGTTACAGGAATATAAATTAATCAAACAAACATCCTTCACTGTTCATTGTTTAAACAGTCACTTATGATGAAGGTCTAATTATTATTGACCATTTGCAGTTTATTTCTTTGTAGAGAAGTTTTATTTTACCTCTACGTTAAGTTTATTGTTCTGGATAAAGTTTTACAACTTTATCCGGGGACGGAGATGGGGTAGAGGCAGGGCAGCCAAGTTGGGACCAGAAAGTCATGGTTTGACTCCCAGCCATTCCCACATGTCGTGGCGTCTGTGAGCAAGACACCTAATCCCTAATTGCTCCCTGGAAACTCAATAGCTGCCCACCGCTCCACCTGGGTGTATCCCACGTATGATGGGTTAAATTCAGAGAACCAATTTCATCATTGTATGGGAACAGACAATGATGACGACATATAATACGTACCAGTACTTAGTTACTTAAAAGGAAATAGCCTCTGCTATGTTATCTAAACGTTAGCTTGCTAACTTGAGAGGCACTTGGCTAATGACAAGCGAGTTGTAAGATTGAAGCGAATTTATTATTGTTGATTTTTTTTTATTTTACAGATCAGTTAAATAAACTTATCATGCTCTGTTCAACAAAATACACTACACAGTATTGTTCTTTGCTTCAGCTGTGCTGAACGTGAAAGTTAAAGTGAATGGCCATGACTTGAAAGTCTTCATGCACCCTCTGCTGGATACTTTATACAATTACACCTTTTGCCAGTAAAGACATGGCTTGTTCCCAGTGTTTGTATTGGTGCATAATGGGGACAATTATTACAGATATCGATATGTTCCCAAACCCCTATATCGGCCTAAAATATTGGCTCTACCGATATATCGGTCCGGCTCTAGTTTTTACTGACACTGAGCCTGAATCCAAAATTAAATCAGTTGCCATTTTGAATAGATTACTTTAAATCATCAAGGTTTATGATCAATCATCCAGGTAAAAAATCCAACATTCAGTCAGGTCATCGGGACAGTTTATTTTATGTTGAGAGACGTTTCGCCCTCCATCCGAACATTGTTGGCTTGTTACCTGGATGATTAAGCATGAACTTTGATGTCTTCAACCATTTTGGCTGTGGCAGCTTGGGAGGAGTCGACGGGGGAGAGGACAGCCCCCAGAAACCATCTTATCACCAGCAAACTGGTTGGTCCACTGTAGGAGTGTACTGCTTGGTGGGGGAAACAGTTTGTGACTTCTCAGACTGATGAAGCCCTTCGAATGAAGGGCGAAAAGTCTCTCTCAAAAAAAAAACTGTCCTGATGACCCGACTGAACATTGTTGGATTACTTTAAATCCTTTTTTCAAAGATCACCTTCCATGTTTCCATCAGTTGTTTGTGTGTGTGGATAAGTTTGTGCAGATGAGTCCAGAAAGGACTGCCACTGAAAACAGCTTCTTTGTCACGCATCACTAGCATCGTTGACGCCACAAATCAAAACTATTCCTCCTTTAGTCATTTCCCTCCATTTTGTGTCTTCCTTCCTTGTTACTGTTTCCTTCGTCCTTCCCTGTCCTTCTTTGTTTTTTCAGGACGACCGTCTGCGAGCCCCTCTGATGAAGCTGAAGTTGGCTGTGTGCAGTGTGATGCCGGAGCAGATAGCCAGGTTCAACATGGACTGCATGGCCAAGGCTGCAAAGTAACTTAGTTTAATGAGCGATCACGTTTTGTTCAGACTCGTGATTCCTTTTGTATTTTCAGCCATTGTTTTCTCCAATTACAACAAAACATTTACTCCCAACAAGGATGTAGTGTTTAAGATGACACACACAAAAACACAAAAAGTAAAGAAAACCCAGTTTTCCTTGGCAAACAAATAGGCCTGTCACGATAAACAATAAATCAATTTATCGTATGATTGTCGTAGTTTGCGGTTAGCAGCGAACCCAGAGTGCAGAACAGGGACTCAACTCGGCAGAAATACAAAAAATATGTTTTAATGATAAATAAAAGTACAAAATAAACAAGCTGACGGGGCAGCAAAACTTACATGAACAAGGCACGAGGAACTCAGGTGACAAGAGAGACACGGGGAACTCGAGGGACCAGGAAGACTCAGGACAGACTTAGGACAAGACTCAGGAGACCAAGGGAGAGTACCAACGAAGACGACCCGACAAAGGACAAGACAGAATAGGACTGCTTAAATACTGTGAGGAGACGAGACGCAGGTGGCAACAATGGAAACTAACGAGGAAGCACGAGGGAAACAGACACAAACCGGGCCACAGAAAAGTACCGTCCTTACAGTACCCCCCCCCCCCCCCAAAGACGCCTCCAGGCGTCCCCAAAAAAAACCCCTCCCGAAAGACTAGGGCGGGTGGAGGGTGGCACTGCAAGGGTGGAGGGACCGAGGATCAGAGAAGACAAAACACCAGGGACCAGAGAACGAGGAGCCAGAGAAAGACGAGGACACGAGGAGCCAGAGAAAAAACACACAAGGAGCCAGAGAAAACGAGGAGCCAGAGGAAAAACAAAACACAAGGAGCCAGAGAAAACGAGTAGTCAGAGAAAACGAGGACATGAGGAGCCAGAGAAAACGAGGAGCCAGAGAAAAACAAGACACGAGGAGCCAGAGAAAAACAAAACACGAGGAGCCAGAGAAAAACAAAACACAGGGAGCCAGAGAAAAACAAAACACAGGGAGCCAGAGAAAAGGGAGCCAGAGAAAACAGGACACGAGGAGAGAACGGACACGAGGAGAGAACGGACACGAGGAGAGAACGGACACGAAGAACCAGAGAGAACGAGGAGCCAAAGAGAAAAAGGACACGAGGGAATCAGAGAAAAGGGAGCCAGAAAAAACAAAGCACGAGGAGCCAGAGAAAAACAAAACACGAGGAGCCAGAGAAAAACAAAACACGAGGAGCCACAAGGAATATGGACGGTCAAGGAACCGTCCCTAAGAGTAACTGTTCCGGCGGGCGGCCGGGAAGCTGTCCATCAAGCCGGGCCAGGTCAGGGGGGCGGCCGGGAGGCCGTCCAAAACACAGGACCCAAGGGAACACTGCCTGCATTATGGGAGCCTGTTGAGCTGCAGCGAAGGACGTGGGAGCCTGTTGAGCTGCAGCGAAGGGCGTGGAAGCCTGTAGAGCTGCAGCGAAGGGCATGGAAGCCTGTAGAGCTGCAGCGAAGGGCGTGGAAGCCTGTTGAGCTGCAGCGAAGGGC